ARAARASMYCRCAMAMWCWCAYMYCCCYCYCCCSYYMAAMMAAAAAWYMAMAAAGCGTCCATTTTTTTCACTTGTGTTGATTGCTCGACAGGGATGTGTCAGGAGTTGAAGTTCTCATGGACCAACACCAGAGCCGTAAAGTAGAAATAGATGGTCGTGAGGAGAGTTTTAATGGCGTTATCAAAATGGGAGAAGAGTTATTGGCCAAGAACCACTACGCTTCAGACGAGGTGAGGGTCGTGGTGGGATCATCATTTGCATTGAACTCGGTACACATGAGATTCGACGTTATAAAGGGGAACTAACTGAGTGTATTTTTAACAGATTCGCGAAAAAATCAGTATGTTGAATCGCCATCGTGATGAAATGCTTCTWGAGTGGGATAAGCGATGGGAACATCTTGGACTAAGTGAGTATTAGCAAATACAAGATCATAATGGTCAGATATTAATGGTATAAAGGGTAGCATATAAAGATATGCTAGCTACATCCGAATATATTAACCATACCATTGTTTGTTTCAGTTCTTGAAGTCATGCAGTTTGCTCGTGATGCACATCTTGCCGAGGGCTGGGTCATGTCACAGGAATCAACCCTTAAGACTGATTATACTGGCGTAAGTACAAAAGACTCCTTTTCCTTCCAATTAGAATTGTATCAGCKCTAATAATGGTCCTGTTTCTCCTAATGATATTATGTGATATAATGTACCCGTGTATTGTGATTGATAGGTTGACATCGCTGAAGTAGAGAAACTCCTGGAAAAGCATTCCAACCTCGAAAAACTTATCACAAGTCAAGAGGATAGATTTAATGCTTTGGAAAGACTAACGACAGTAAGTATACATGGTTSTCTGTGTATTCAGCTGAAATACTAAYCATCGGCTTTTTGTAGTTTGAGCTCCGTGAAGCACGTCGCCGCCAAATGGAAAAAGAACARAAAGAAAAGGAAGAAAGGGAAAGACAACAACGAGAAGAGAGAGAACGATTAGAGGAGGAAATCCGAGAACGTCAAAGAGAAGAAGAAGAGAAGAGACAAAAAGAAGAAGAGGAGAGAAGAAAAGAAGAAATGGCTGAGACAGCCACTCCTTCTGCTTCTGAAGCCGTGCAACCGGTATGCGAAGGAAAACGTTTTGCGATTTCTTCACTTGTCGCTGTTTATTCGTGTTTTTGATATAGTGTTGCTGTTAATTATTGTAAATTTTATTGTTGTTGTTGTCATTTTGGTATTTCTTTACTAATTGCCGATTATWCTTTATCAATTACAGGAACCTCAACCAGACGAAACGGGTAAGTGCTTCTTTGTTAGTAGTAACTACAGTCAACTCTCGCTATTACGGACACCCTCGGGACCGTAATTTATTGTCCGCAGTAGCGAGAGTCAGTACACTGTAACGAGAGTTACTTTCAGTCATTTCTTTGTGTATTTCGTCGATTTTCGGCGATTCAGTATTTTACTGTCCGCAATATCGAGGTGTTCGTTGTACGGGGTGTCCGTAAGGCGAGAGTTGACTGTATATAGATATTAAGAAGATTTGAGAAACTACTGATGTCGGAAGTCATTCCGATATTGTGKAAGTAATGAATATTAATGATGTACGTGTTATGTCCAGGTGAGGATCATGATGTAGAAGGCAAGTATAATGGCTAYCTTCATCGTAAACCAACAATGGACGCTCCAAATAGAAAGGCTGCTATAAGGTACACATTATTGGTATTGTATTGTTGATAGTTTTAGAGTCTGAAACGTTTTCTTTGATTTCACAGACAATGGAAGCAGTATTATGTCATCTTAAAAGACTACGAATTACGATTCTTCAAAGAYCAAAAGAGTGCCAGTAGCGTAAGTAGCTCAATTCTTTCACTTTCTATTCCTATTTTTTTCTTCCATTCCATCCCATCCCATTATTGTAACACATCTTGTATCAAATTGTTCCACACAGGAACACCCAGCTGCACATCCACTTTCAACGTTAGAAAGCGTTGCTGAAGTTGCCAGTGATTATACCAAGAGAAAACACGTATTCCGATTCAGGTATTCCATCATTTAATCACACGRATTGAATTGTAGTCCAGCGTGATTGATTAATTGTTCTGTCGTTTTTCTTATCTAGAACGAATGACGGCCATGAATTTTTGTTCCAAGCAAAGGATGATGTAAGTGTTTTAGAACGCCTGATGTAGTTTTAATGTCAAACCCGTCATGGAATACATGGTCTTATGTCACTCAGTCATCTCTGTCAATATAGCTCACGAGAACAGACCAAAAATCCCGTTTTTTAAATTTAGTTTCATTATTTTGTTTATTCTTGTTTCTAGTTTTCGTCATTACTTGTTACTATTTTGTTAAGGAATTAATTTTGTGAATGCATGTTGTTTAAAACCTGTTTCTTTAAGTACTGTTTCATCACGTGTATTGCTTGTTTCCAGGACGATCGAGACTTCTGGATTGAACACATTAAAGAATGCGCAAAAGCAACCGAACCCAAAGCTTCYACTCCTGACAAGAAAGATAAGAAAGGAAGTGGATTTTTCGGCAAAAGAAGAAGCAAAAATGTTGAAGAAAAGAAGTAAAAATGGGATTATGTTCAGTATTATTAGCTTGCGACAGAACGTGTAAATCTAGCGAGTAAAATTGCAAGTACATCACATTGTTCTCTGGTGAAGACACTGTGGMAGCGTGTTGTCAGTTACATGAACTGACCAAGGATTGACTGTAGCAATTTGGTTTAAAACTACCTTAAAATATAACATATTAACTATCTTTATCGACTAAGTTAAAACTAAGGAGCTACTAAAAACATTTTAAAATGTAAACTTAATTGATAGCTAGTCTGTTGTTTCTTGAAATTAGGGCCCAAGCTCTCTCAATGCGTTTTACTCGTTCAATGATACTTAATGTTTGGTCAATAATGGCCAGCCGTTGCTAACCAGTTCTTTGACATTACGTCTATAACAGCCCTGTTACAGGAACCATAAGTTAAATATAGCTTACACCATTTCATTCTAGAACRATTGATCATACATTGCTTCTTGTATTTCATTTACAAGTTAAGACATAGATTGTGGATACGTTAAGAAAATAAATTAACTTTGACTCAAACTTGTGTTTTGTCAATTTATTTTTKCCACGTGTTGCCACGCCCCGCTCTACCCAGCGGACGAGAGTATCTTCCGTTCCCCTCTAACTCCACGACAACTGCCATGATTGATAAAAGAACACCCCCCATGACCCTATTGCCTTTGTGAAAACCTCTCGTTACAAAGATACGAGTAGACGGGAACGAGTTTCACGTGATAAAGGCTTTGATTAAGTCCTTTATTCGTATGGTAGCACATATCCTATTTTCATGAATCTTCTTCGTTGAGCTTTCTGCYCGTTCCTAAAGTCGTGACCCGTGCCGAGAACCCCCTGACCTCCCCTGGAATAGAGGAATAACTATTACGAAGAGGACGAAAAAAACCGAGCTCTCCCATGACTCGTCGTGATACGCTAGGGTTACTACGTTTTTGAACCATAGTCTGTATCCTCAGTCAAAAGTCGAGTTTTGTAAAAACTACTTGTAAATAAACTCGTCCGTACAAAATCAAACATGTTAAAAAATGAAYTGGATATTTGGAGTCTTCGTTTTCTATTTTTTATTTTTATATCAATAACTACATCATTGTACAGCACAAGTTCCTAGCGAAGGGCAATCGGAAGATGAGATTGAATGATTTTCTTACATTTTTCTGTCAGAGTTTCACTAGGAACGCTTGCTGAAGTTGTTATAAATATATCTACGGAGAAATGCATTATACAAAATATTCCCTTAACAGTTGTGAGAAATTATAAATATATAACTTAAAAAGATATCARACTCCTTCACATTTKGTAGAATCAATCTTGGACTGGAAMGATTTTCCTCAATTTCGAGGCGTTCTAAGCGTCATGAAAAACGGATTTTATAGTGAAATGAAGCAAAGTTTTTTAAAGTTCKGGACGTTAGTTCTTGCTCTTTCTATCTTTTTAAATTGTATAATTTATCTTTAAATCACAACTGCTCCAATTTAATATTAAAAATGTCAAACTATTTTACTTGAATAATGATCGTAAGTAAAAAATTTGGTGAAAAAGCACGCAGTCRCCATCAATTGAAGAGTCCATATTTGTCCATTCTCKCAATTAGAGGACARATTATCGGAGACTCAACCTAAATAGAAAAACAAGTCAATAATCAATATCACTAAGCAACAACACCACTCGATTCAGTCATACAACAGAGAAAAACAACGAAAAATGATAATAATTTTGATCGTAACAAAAGGAGAAGAACATAGTTCCACCATTTACGAAAGTCCTTAGCGAAAATAAATGAGACTGCACAGTAGGACTGGGGCGAGAGGAGGTGAGGTCCAGTAGACCCACTAAGATATAGTGCCACACAGGGTTTTTGAGTAGGGGGCCATGAGACAACGTCATTAATGTAGTTACTTTAATATAATGTACACTTACTCCAAGAATGTATTGACAAACTTCTGGCTCCATTAAATAAATAGATACCTCTTGAAGGTGGGTTGATTCTTTACATCTAAACACAGTAGAAATAATAACACTTTATAAAACATTACATTAACAAATATAACAACTATAAGCTTGACAATTAACTAGTATTTTCCATTTATAACATAGTTAATTAACTATGTTTATAATGACAAGCTCACACAGACCACTTAACAGTCCTTCTTTCAAAATAGTAAAGTACATTTTAGAGGCAATTGTAAGCAGTAGGTTCATGTACCTTAGTCTAACCTGTACTTGACGTGGTTTACYAGTGATGTCACATGTATCTCCACCAGTGTATAGATGAACAGCATGGTTGCTGCAAACAAACCACGGATTGTTACATAGAGMAAAAAGTGTTATAATGCTGGGAGAGAGTYATTTCGGAAATAAATTGCATTTCACTGGTACTACGCAGACAATTCCATTGCTTCCTATTGTATGCATTGATAGGAAAGCAGCTATTTTAGAGGTTAATTTATTACTTACTAATTAGGTTTCATATTTTTGCTTTCAACCCACTTGATATGTTCCTAGAAATGGTAACATGATAATCCATATGATTTGAATTCACAATACTTCTAGAAATAACTTCATTATTATTATTATCATACTCAGTTGCGGAATTGTGTTTTCGTCTAAACATCATATCATCATTCTTCCCCCTGAAAAAAAATGTGTTTGTAGTCTGTTCTGTTACCTCTTTATTCCATTGACCTAATAAAATATCTGTACGGCCACCATGATCCTAAAAGTAATAAAACAGCAGAAATGTCTTAGAACAGATGATGTGAGTTGGATTCCTGGTAACAAATTTATCAACAAACAAAGTGTTCATATATGAAGCAAGACCTGACCCTCCCCCTCTCCCTCCCCCTCTCGCCATTTTGGTGGGCTATAGTCCAGACCCTCCCCCTCTCCCTCCCCCTCTCCCTTCACCTCCTCCACCTCCCCTCTCCTCCCTCCTCCCCAAAAAAATGATTGAAGACACAATATTTGATAGTTGTGTTTCCTTTAGAGACAAACACAAAATGCTTCATTAATTTTTTAAAGCATTTCAACATCCTCAGACACTGTCTCGTAGCTATATTTTTTTTTTGTATTCTAGTCTCAGGTTTTTTTATTCTCACTGTTTTGGAAAATGTTGAAAAAAGATATAAGATCATCCAMCACCATTATTAGAAAACTAAAACCTAAGCTACTTTAGGTTCATCAAACTATAATTTATACTTACTTCATCAACRTGAAATTGTAAGACTTTTTTGCCTAAACACAATTCATACTTCCACCAGCCTGTTCCCTGAAAGACAATTATTTTCAAAGGTTTGGTTCCATGTACTTGATTGAATTATTTTTAGGAAAATTATATCCCATTTATCAAACTAGTGCAAGATTAATTCTGATGAAATAGTTGTGCAAATTCACTCTTCAACTTCATTGTTTTCAGGGTTATCTTTGATTTGCAGCAACAATAATCATATCACTAAATGTGAAAATAGAGAAATATGGCTTGTTCACTTAATCACCAATAGTCCAAATGTGTTGAATGACCACATTTTTGTCTTTAAGGAATAATTTTTTTTTGTTTTGCTAATTTGCATTACTATATGAAATCCATTATTGCAACTGCTATAATCAGGGTTTGTGCTACATTTTCACTACAAAATTCCAGGACTTTTCAAGCACTTTTCAAGCACAAAACTGAGATTTTCAAGAAGTATTTTTGAAGATATTTTTTGATGTTTGCGGAGGTTTCTAGAGGCAATTTTCAAAAATAACCACATTTCAATCCAAAAGTTAACAGGCGACATGTCAATTTTGTCAGATTCAAGGAGTTTTTCTGCAATGTTCCCCATTTTCAAGGGCTTTCAAGCGCCCTTGAAAACGAGTTTTCAATTCCAGGACTTTTCAAGGACTTGAAGGAGTAGCACAAACTCTGTATAATGATTATTTTAACAAGCTATAACGACCACCAGTACCCCTTGTAAACAGTAATCGCCATTAAGAAAGTCCTTAGTCAGCTGGTCATCRGGAAGAGGAGTTTGTATTCTTGGTCTTTCAGGTGGTTGTTGAGGCTTTTCACTCTCAGGCTTGGGATCATCTGTGACTGGTTTCTTCTGTTGTCCTTGTTCAAATAACATGGTCTAGAAACAAAACACTTTGTTACAGAAAGTGGCTTCAATAAGCCTGTGAAATACTCTTAAACATTCCAAAGTATAATTTAAACTTTTTGGACTTTATCCTTTCTAATTTGTTTGAATCCAGCATTACATTCCGATAAATGTTTGTTTGACATGTCTACAATAGGTAGGTACAATGATATGAAGCTAAGTGGTTGATTTGATAGATATTTTATGCAGCTTCCTTCAGTAAGGGAAGTACTCAAAGGGACATATCTCACCTGCATTTGTCCTGATTTTTCTAAGTCCTGCTGTTCAATAAAGTCACTGTAGCTCTGCGGCTGTCTWCATAAAGATATTTATTATTAATCAATGTTCGTTTTTTTATCAGGTGAATTATAATCAATGAGAGAAATAGTTTACAACTACTGGTAAGTATTCACGTATAAGTAGCAGWCTAATTCTGACAGTTTCTGATTCTTACTCTGGTGATGATTCCAAGGAATGACAGCTTATCTCATGGACTGGATCTTCACGAAACCTAAAAAAAAAACATGTAAAAATCTCTTGTTGATAATTATTATAATCATCAAAAACAAATTGCCCATAKACMACACATAGCAATCTAGAGCAAGACACATTTTTGCTTCTAAACCCAGGTGTAAGAATCATACTTCTAGCAGACTTCTATAAGTGGTATTTTTAGTGAAATCAAGACATCTTTCCCACTGCGGATTATCACATGACAATTCAYTAAGATTCACTAATAAGATGGGGGCTACTATAATGTTTACCAATTGAATTACTGAACTGTCTAAAGTCCAAAAATATTGACTGACTGTACAATATTGCTAACCTGTACAATTCACTGGCACATAAAACAGGAGTTACAACCTCCATTTCATAAACACATGTACTAACTTCCTTGAGAGATAGTACCTATAAAAACAATATCAATTTATCATAACTTGCACAATACTTATCACTGTATCAATGGGGTCAGGTCGCAGCTCCAAAGAACATTGCTGGTAATTGGTTGGCTCAACACAGAGTGACTCTAAAGGCATGAACAATAGAGCCTATTGTTGTAGCCAGCCRATCACAAGGGGGGCATTGTGGGAATGTGACAGAGCTACATCCTGAAGTTTCTCAAACCATGTAAGGCTGTATATGATATCTAAAGTTCASTCCAGTAAAACAATCTGCAATGTTTATTTCTGGTAGAATACAAACACTAAAACTGTGCAACATAAATACCAGTAAATACTGCTAAATTATGCTAATTCTATTGTTTTCTATTGTTTAATTAACACAATTTTGTAGTAAATAGTGGAAAGTGTTGCACACATTTAATGCTTGCACTCTACTATATACATATGTATATTTGTTGTTGCTTTTTATATATTTATTAATGTTCAGTATTATATTTCCCGATAATGTGTGACAGTTACCTCATTATTGCCGTGTGGATGACAAAAGTATAAAATATGAACCTCTCTAGGTCTACCAGACAATAAATCACATGGAGTACCACCCTGCATAACCGCCTTGTAATATGGCATATCACGCCCTTCTAGTTTTCTAGTKGGGGGCTAAAATAATTAAGACAGGTATTTCAATGTTATGTAGATACAACACTTGCTAACACCACCCTTGCTAAAAAAAAATCAAATAAATCATGAATGACAATAATCATAGAAATAAATTATATTATTTATCATTGATTGATGGAAAACTACCCACATTTAAATAAATATAAATATATTTTATAAAATATAAATATAATATATAATATTTCTTCAATGTCATGTCTTCTGTTAGTTACACTCTTAATTTTCACTATATTTTGCTCTCTCCATTTCAGTTCAATTCAAATAACCTATAGATCAATGCTGAGATAGAGTAGCATAACTTGATAGCTTATCAGCGATAAAAATTTGAACATATCTACAGCAGATACAATTAAGCTTTCTCAGTTATTTTAATATGTGTGCAATTTTTTTTACCTTTTTGGGAGTTCCTTTAGCATGTTCAGATACTGGTGGCTCTGGAATGGGATGAGGTCCAGAGTCTTCCTTTTTGCTSTTTTCTTGGTCTACCTTCCCCAGGAAAAACTCCTGAAGTTTGGTTCCCTTGAATGGAAAACAAGTAGATTGTCATCAACATATCCACAGAYCTTATTGTAAGTAAGTATCCTCCTTGGAAACTAAGGGCTTTTGAGTAGGGGCATGGAGAGAGGTTCTAGGGAGACAGAAAGTATCCCCCTTTAGCCTCATGATAAGAGAGACATATATAGTGAATAGACAAAAGAGATATTCCACCTTTTGTGTTCTTTCCTCATGGAACTGCCTAACRTGCTTATTATGACATAATTCGTATGTCCAGTACGCTTCAAGCTATAGAAACAATATACCAAAATTACTGGTTAAAAACAAAATGTCAAAACACACAAATACAYCTTGATGAATATTTGTGTTCTGTAGCACACTATACCCTGTATGAGCATCTGGCATCATCAGCTAAAGGCGCAAGAAGTTGTTCTGGTGAAGGKCCATAACCATACTCTCCTGAATAAACCTGAAAAAAAAAAACAAGAAGATTATCGACTAGATTACCAAGTTTCAGGAACTATCAAGAAGAATCAGGAAACGTACCTTCTCTTGTACTTGTTTAGAAGGAAGAAGACACTGATATTTTTCATTGTTTGKTGTTGTTATAAAAACAGACTCGTGGTTGCTGATGTAATCCTTTCCCTCCTAAAAATAGAATTACAAGTTTACTATGAAGAAAGCTCAATGCATCAATAAAACATCAAAACTAAWACTGCAATCTTGGACAAAACTCTTGGGACTTTCATGRTAATATGGTTWATTTAGATGGTATTRCCCTKTTGYSCCTCTACAYTTGAACAACCCYACCTCCCCCTGATACGTTGTTGTCAACTGACTGACAACAWACCCTCAACCACCCAACTACAACATTAAAAGGTGGAGAATTGCAGTCATTCCATTCCATTGTACAGCAAAAGAATCTTTAGACTTGTTTTAAAGTTATTGCTTATATATGCTTCAGTACTGGTGGCTTCCAAAGACCAATAAAACACAAAATGGAATGGATTACTTTAAACTATAGTAACAGTTAAAAAAGTAGATTTTTAGGGCTTTTTAATTATTACTTTATACAGTAAATAATTGTAAATATATAATTCATTAAAAAATCCTGCGCCTTGAGTGGCTGTTGTGGGGAAATCCAAATCATTTTCTCCTTATCTCTACACTTYATGCATTCTTAAAAGATAGAAAAMTTTTCACTCGCAAAAGTATGAATGTATAATCAATCGGTAGTTTATATAAAACTATTTTGAAATAAAAAAAATAAAGTATTTTCGTGTCCGAATGTGGTGACTATGTAAAGACAGTTAGGCATAATACCTCTGTGACTTGTCCTTCTCTCAGTGAAATCGGCCCAGCCCAAGTTATACCAAATAATACATTATCATTAAACTGCTCGAAGCTATCTACAACTACAATTAAAGCCAAAAGGGCCAAAATAACGTGGAAAAAACTCATCTTCGTCTTCTCTTGTCCGCCATYTTTGTTATGACGTGTCTAGTATCCAGGACTCACGGTTGTAACACTATACGCTCCTTAGCATAGGCAGCCCACCTCTTGCATGCTTCATTTATGCTTTTATTTTCTGTACTTTATTGTATTATATTAATTCATATATGTATTGATGAATCAATTCKAAAAAAAGAGAAAACACAAGAAGAAAAACGCAAGCGCGCGCTAACTTTACATGATTCTTTTGTTGATTTACTTTGGATTTGTGGATTACCTGTGGTGTTATGTCACGATCGCCTCGCGGCGGGTACATACTAATCTGTGACGGGAGAGATTAGTGTAGACCATAGGCCGCCCAACTATTGCTTGAGAGCCTTAAAAGTACGAATGCGCACGCTTTTAAAATGTGCTATCGGCGCAGGCGGCGCGTGCTCTTAGAAAAATGCGGGTTACCTGTGATGTTACGTCACGATCCCGCGCCTAGAGAGTACATACTTATCTGTGACAGACGTGTAAATAGTTTCCGATTCTATGCCACCCGGCTGATTGATTAATTCATCCCTTCATTCTTATTCAAATATTGGTCATTAATTTGTTTTCTTTCATTCATGATCACATATAGATCGAGTAGCGACTGTGAAACTACTGATCCCACTAAAAAAACAAAGAAAAAATGGGAACCTTATCTCTGGAAGCAGTTCATGCAGATGATGGTAGAGTGCTGACCAGAATACCATTTAAACTGGAAAATTCACTCTGCCCTTAGTGCCATTCAACCTCAGACTCAAGGGACAGACATCCGCCCGGTGGATTCCCTTTTGAGCGCACTTCTCGTATGGCTGTAGCCTGAGTATCAGCCTCTCTCGAAGGGGTTTAGGGCGGAGCGAAACATTCACCAATGGAAACAATTTTATGTAACAAAAAAAGTTTATTAATTAACAATTAACACAACTGACACAATTAACTCCATTACATACAAATTGGACASTATAGTCATAAATGGAAATTACACTTTAATAATAATTCTTGTTACTAAAACAAGTGTTATTATCATTATTTATATAATCACAATTATTCATCRCTATATGTATCAAAAGTATTTCGCAGTGTTTGAAGAACACCACTTTATAAATAAACAGTCTATGATTACTGTCTTGCGCGACAGGCAACCATGATGTGCAAAACTAAATAAATGTTAGTCTGTGGTGTGTCACACACAAAGCAATTTATACAGCAAGAATTGTGTGACAAAAGGACAAACAAGAAAAAATATTGCGTGACAACARTTGTGACATGACACCAAAATACAGAGAGCTGTGACATGCAACTTGTGTGACCTAGTATGGATTGMTGTYTCACCAATCTCATGCCTCATAAGATGGTAATTTTCAGYCCACTTACAGATATATCAAATAAATAGTAAACTGGGAATGGGATAGCGTGGACTGCCTGCAGCCATTGTATCACGTTTGGGTCATAGAGTGGAAATACAACCATTTGGTGTTTCACTAGTGATTGACATTGCWATCGATTTTGTGGGCGTGTTGCACRCTAAATCAAGAAGTTCACAACTTCAGAAAACAGAGAAGATGAGAATGTGTTAAAAAGAAYATCTAGAATTGTCAAACGAACTCTTATCCTTGTTTTTTTATTATTTTTTAGGTAATTAGTACTTAGAAAGTTAAATTGTATTACACAAAGAAAGATCATGTTTATGCTGAACAATGAATTATGATCTATAAATTAGTATAATTTCCTCTAATTTTAAGGGTTCAGTCACRAAATATTTATCAAAAAGTTATAATGACCAATAATTTTCTTACAAAAAGTGAGATTTATGAGAGCTGTATGATTGTTTTTCCACTCACACAAAACAACAAACTACATTGGCTAAAAACATAAACATAATCTTACAATAGATTACAAGAAATATGTATCCTTGTAACAAATGCAGCTAATAGCACAGATGATGAAAAAAAAAAACTTTTGAAAAATTTTTCAGCAACAATAGTGCTTTTAGCAAATAAGTATGACAAACTACTCTGTTGCATTCTAAAGGACGTTATTGTTGGTAAATAAAGTAAGCTGGGTAATTTTCGTGATTATTTATCAAAATAGTTGCAATTACACAACCCCATCAAAACTACAATCAGCGATTTATAATATTCAAAAAAGGTGTCACATAAACACACCTGTAGCACAAAACACAATGCGTTATGCATTAACTACATATTGACATCCTTGTCCCGTACTCTGATTAATCTTGCTATTGTTTTTKATCAGGGAGTCATTGTTCTTCCAAAGTCCTGTAATAGCAAACATGAAATTACGAGTAATTATTTCCAAATAATATCAAAGAAATTTTTCCACTTTTTTCCTGTCACATTATCATGACAAATTGTTACCTGTTGCTGCATGGGAGGCCTSCCTGCGGGCTTTATCAACGGAGGAGGTCCTTGAAGAGGAGASGCAGATTGACCTACTCTGGATACATTCTGGGCTTGTAATGGTGGWGGCTGCCTCTGACCTTGTCCACCTGAGGGCTTGAGAAGTGGTGGTGGTTGTCCYGGGATACCTGGTAAACAAAGTGAAWTACCCTCCATTAGTTTCTTTGTAAAAAGTGTGGACTGGAAAGTGTGGAGAAGGGATTTTTAATACTGGTTTATGATTCAGTACAAACCTTGAGAGGTGATGGGAGGCGATGAAGTCTGATGTGGACTTGGTGAGGAAGCCAACCCTGGAGATCCTGTCATGCGTGAAGGAAGCATCTCRCCGTCTTTCTTGTCACTACTAGTAATACCCTGCTCTGCTTCATACTCCTCTAAGACTTCCTGTAAATTGTAACGCCGTCTGTAGTTCACAAAGAAGTTGCGACACTGACCAACRCTCTTGTTTCCCAATACTTCAGCCATTGCTTGAAAGTCCTTGCCGTATTTCCTCACAGCTTTTAGACAAARAGRTKTACATTACATTTTTTAATGTTTATTTACTAATTATAGAATCATTTTTACCAGCATTGTTGAAGATCTTTATCACACCAGACAAAGTAATTGTATAAACACAGACAAAATAGTTAAATATGAGAAAATTCTTACACTGAACAGCTAGAAGCAGCTCTTCGTTGCTCCATCTTGTGTTATTTTTATTATTAAGCTGGAAAAAATGGTTCACGAGAACTTTTTAATTTTGGTCATGATCGAAATGAATAATTATACATTTGAATTTTAAGAACCAGATCAATATGAAGAAAGAAATATCACTCACGTCACCCAATCTAAAATCATCAATGCCAACTTCCACGGAGTACTTGTTTTGGCTGATTATTTGCTTATTTGACTGGATTTGTCGTTTAAGATTGGTGAGCTCATTGTCGAGAGGTTTCAGATGAGCATCGCCATGAGTATAAGATATAGACATCAAGTGGTCATGTGATAGGTTCATTCCCTAAAGAAGCATATCAATAATAAATCAAGAACAAGTGACAAAAACATGATGACATAACCATAATCTTACTTTAGGTGGCTTTCTTTTCAGTTTGTTTCCTCTTGGGCCTGTTCTCTCCTCACGACCTCCCATTCTTGGCTGTCGCATTACACCTGTTCGTCTGAATTGCATAGCAAACAAATAAATATACAAACAAAATAGATGTAAAAGAAAAGAACCAAGAAAATATACAAAAAACAGAGATAAGCAGTACTGTTGCTAAGATTTTCAATGATATTTTGCCATTTTTTACACAAATTATTTGATATCTTATGAAATTCATGAGCTGCAATTTGTTATACATTGTATGTCAACAAACTACATTTATCATGTAACATTAATAGTTATTACAATCTTTGCAATATGATCATTTGAGTAATTTGCAGTACTTGGGAAACAGTGCTTGATAGTCAGCATCATGTTATTTGACCGACAAGGAATAAACACAAACATGTACATAAAGGTTTTATGATTCAAGCCTTTAAATARCTTACTTCCAATAYTGGTAACATGCACTACAAAGGTTTCCTTTGGGAGTACTATGGACTTGGTGGCTTTGAACATTGCAATGTATATTACTACAGGTACTGGTGATTAGCAAAGGTTGAGTCTGTACCAAGAGACAACATTGTTAAAAGTCATTTTCATATTAGTAAYTGAATTCATTTGGATCAATAACATTTTTCAAATGGGTTCATTTAGATTTAAATACTGTTGTAATTATTCAAGGCCAGTGCCAGTTTGTATTCAAGGTGGATGATAAGTTATCCACAAATATGATATTGATAAGATTTCGATTGACAAATTTGATGTGGTCACTGAGGATTTATGATGTATTTATTCACCTTTTGCTATCTATTTATTTACTATTAAACTGTTTAATAATCTAGAAATTTTCTTAAATTTGATCAATAAAGAGTTTGTAAACTTCATGCTACATGTGAACCTTTTGACACACTAAAAGACCAAGACTTTCAATGATACATGTTTTCAATCATGGATAATACTTTTGTACAAAACCTCCAATATTTAGTTTATTTAGTTTTAGTTTATTTCTGGCATTTCAATATTATCATCATATAAAAATAGACAATCTGTTCACCTGTGGTTGTTTGGTAGGGGTTCTTGGTTTCACTTGCCCATTTGATTGCCTTTGCTGGGAAATAATAAAAGAATGATTATGTATTCAATTGTTTGGTCAAGTCTGTTCACTTAATGTTTCCTTTGCTCTTATTGCAACATTAGAATAAGATTACAACAAATACCTCCTTTTCTGGCTCAAAGTCACTGTCACTGGTATCACTGTTATCACTGTTGGGCTCCCTAATAAATATAAGATAATAGCATAACAAAATTGCACTTTTTAACAATTTCTTTGAAAATTTTTACTAAAATTGCTTACGTATATTCCTTGACAGCTAATCTTCTTGCTTGTCTGTCAATCAAGCTAGTTCTACTTCTTGTCTTCTTCCAGGAGTAGTAATATTTTACCAAGCTGCTTACAGCTTTGTCTGGAAGCTATTTAAGGTAAATCAATAATTAATCTTTTCCCAATATGAACCAAAATTTCCTCAGAAAAAAYATATTTATTTAAAACATGTAGTAAAATACTCTTTTTTTGTAATTTAAACTGACCAGTTGGTGTATCAAACATAGGGTTTACATGTATGTGACAGAAAGTTACACTCATCAGGGTCGACCAGTCAGAATCTATAAGACTCTAATCATTTTAAAGTAACAAGAGAGAGCGTACTTGAATGAATGACTTTTAGCAAAAGCTTTATTACAGACCCTCATGATTGGAGGTGTATTTGTAGTGAATGAGACAGGCCCTGGAGTTTTTAAGAATGAAAAGTGGAGTAAATTGAGCATAATTCCTTACCATTTGTTGTATTCTTTTAAAACTTTTACCATGAGATCCAAATGCCTGTTCGAACAATACTTTGTCTTCCATGCTCCACTCATCTATGCAACAGAACATTAAATAGCTGAATGTAGATTATCATTTAGCATATGAAGATCTTTACAAAAACAAATGATAATCACTGTCATTATATATATATATTAGGAACTAATACAGACGTCCTTGCAACTCCCTCAACTTTTAAGTTATTATTCACTTTATCTAGAGGATATRAATTTGTTCAGAAGCTATAAAGTAGACATAATAATTATTTGGCCACATATATCTTACCAGGAAATGGAGTGAAGTTAGACAAATCAGTTAGAGATTTGTCAACATTATGTTTATGCCAAAAAAGCATACCAAGAGCCTGAAGAAAGATGAAAATATAAGAATTCTACAATGAATAGCATTCAGTAGTTTTAAWAATTTAACAAGCAGTTTTCCATGGTTTTGCTTCAATGAAAGTCACCCCAGCAGGAATCCTATTTTGCTATCATAATTATCTATGAAAGCATCTGGCTGTGATGAAGAAGCAGCCTTGCACAAACAAACCTTACCTGCTCTACATTATATCCATGTTTATCTTTAGCTATTCTTAAATATTCTTCCACTGTAAAGATAATAAATATCAATAAATAATTAATAACAAACAAAAACCAAACATGTGTATCCACAGCCAGGAAAAAAAGAAAGCAAAACGTTAGGAAATCAAAAGCTACAAAGGGAAACAACTTACATTTTGCGTCAGGTATATTTCTTGCTGGGGCCCATACTAATAAAGCGTTGTGTTTAATATCTGTGTCATTTTGCTCTGGAATAAGATTATTTATTTTAGACTAATGGTACTGTGACTGATATCATAAAGGGAAGTAATAGTGATAGTAATGATAATGTATCAATTCCAAACACTAAAATATTGGTATCTTAAAAACATCAGACTATCAATCTTGCTATTACATATTCAAAATGTTGTGCTTTTTAGAAAAACAGCAAATACATTTATATAAATAGATATTCATTTAGCAATTAAATGTAGGGAAAAGTACAATAATATGATCTAAATAATATATATCATGATATAAGCATTCCAAATATGACTACTTGTTGATGACATATCCTATAACAGTTCTTATTCAGGACTATATCAATTTTGTAAGAACAGTTAATAACATTTAGAAGCGATCAAGTACTAAAATGCAATAAAAAAACGAACAGAATTCTATATTCGCTTTCAAATCGCAATTATGATACAAAATTTATAAATGAATGACATTTGAATAAGCTGAACACACCATCTATAGTAGAACTGTACAGGATTACACATATGTACATAGAAGAAAAAAGCATCAAATATTTTCATTTAATTTTGGACACCTTTATTTCATAAATTGTAAATTGCTTTATTCAATCGAAATTGCATGAATTATTATTTCACAGATAATTAATAAAACACACTGATGGTTTGGCCATACAACTGAGTGAAAACAGATAAATGTACATTAGAAACAAGGCTAAAAATGTTGAACAATACACCTTGATATTTACATTTTCTTTAATTCATGCACAGAAAATATATCTTGCACACCCAATTTATTGAATAACAGAATCTATCTAAATTATAATTGACCAAAAATATCGCTATAGCTGAAAAAGGTGACYACTAGGAATCCAATTTTTATCAAAATTTGCAAGTTTCTAAGGACGTCTCCCGTTTTTCATTTGTTTCTCCTAATCCCATGCATTCAAGTGTATCAAAATGGCGTCCTCTTCGAGTTCGTCTGAAATGTTCGCTAAATTACCTACATAAAAGCGCCAAAACAACTCAAAACCTCGCAAAGACCAATCTCAGTTTATGAATAAAGATTTTCATGCTTAAATCTAAGTAGTAAAGGCCCTAGAATTTGCATTCCGTGACAAAGAAATGTTCTAATCGTGACTCCGTGACAAGGGTACGGCGGACTGACTTGAATAGTCAACAAAACATTTTAATAGTTTTGCCAACGTTTTGTTCTTCATATCAACGGAACAATTAGCGATTTCAAGAATGCATTTATTCTACTAACGAGTTTTTTCTTCGAAAGATGGAAAACTAAAGCAAACTTCACAGTTTCGGAGATGGTTCTTAATTAATCTTACTAATTTGGATAAACTTCGTGCCGATCACAAATTTTTGTTGCTACTTAGAAGCGTCATTATCTAATATAGAATCTTGTGTAGCGTTCCTATTTGTTTTCTAATAGTTTTATATTGCGTTTATCTTAAAATTGAAAGACTTTCTATGATCTGTTTAAACTTTAATTACTCTTTCTTACCATCCGAAGCCAAGTCGGGGATGACCGCTTGGTACTCGGAGCCTACTCGCATGCCGGGTTCTGCAAAACAATTTCAAGTCCATCAGTATTTGCTAGACAACAAAGACATGCCAGTCAATAAAGTTGTGAGTAGTTTGCTAACCGTGGTATTCTTCATCGCTGTCGTTTTGATCGTTTCCTTGCACGTGTTGAGCTTTGTCTTGAACTTCCATCGTCTCTCCTCCATTCTTCCCATTTTCCACTTTAATACCCATCATAGAACTCCTGGCATTTGACGCCATACTGATACCCTATTAGGGCCACGAATACCTTGAAAATCTCTTTATGGACTTCTTAAACTACTAGGAKGGCCAGTTCASTAAATACATCGATACMCAGAGGAATATTTTACTGCTTTTTTCTTTCCTTTCTAAGAGTAAACCTTCAGGCCGTCGCAGTCAGCGAGTGAACGATGCTTGTGGTCACGTGGTCAGCATAAATTAACTTCAAAGATAATTTATGCGCATCTTAAAAAGCTCTTTATTTTATATTTCACAGTCATTTCTTGATATGAATGTGAAWTGTTGCTAAAAATGTGATGATTTATTGAGAGTCTATTCGCAGAAAGCATCAACCGTTCCTGATACCAAACGAAAGTGAATTTCCATCCCACATTGATGACATCATTGTCTACCTGTCATTGCCACGAGTGAATTTGTGAACGCTGGTAAATTTGGGAATCAAATAYATACTCCTAAGAGAGGATTTGCTAATGCCATTTATAAGTCAAAATTCTAAGCACTTCTCAAAGATGAAATTCTTCAAAGCCCGAAAAACATACCACATAAACACCACTCATACAGTCTTAATAGCTACTTCTCATTAATTATGCACAAATTTCGAAACAATGAAATATTTCCATTCATAATTTCKCAAATAAATATAGCAGTTGTGTTCAATTCATTAATATAATCAAAATAAAACTGGTCTGTTTTCTGATAAAGATTAATTTTACGTAGTCGTGTGAACATTTTCTTGGTCCCGCTTGATTAAATATTCACCTCAGGCCAGAAAATTGAATGAAACTTGAATATATTTTATCGTTGAATGCGTACTTTTATATCCACTCATTGTTATAAKCAAAAGCTTGCGATGATACAATGAAATCTCTTTTAAGCGTTAAAGAACAGTGACAATATACTACGTGCCTTTAACGGGCAATGGAACTATACGTTGTGCTTGACCTCCSGAGTTCATCTTTTCTTTGCGCGAATGGTTCCGGGTGTTTCAGCAAGCCCATGTTCCAAAACCATAAACATGGCCACCCTGGCAGTGGTGTGCATTTTCCGTTCTTAACAAAACTTAGCATAACGGAATCAAGTTATATAGTTATAAAGTGAARCTAGTCAAGTCATAATTACCATAATAAATATTATGATTTGTAAATAGTTTATTTTTGACACTTTCTTTTTTTATAATTATATTGAAGAGCGCAATGAAAAAAYATGCGTGTCATAATTTGTCCACCACTTCTTCAGAAAGATTATCTTTTGAATTCTGACCATTACTTTTCGATGAGGCTTCTCCAGTTTTCGAGTCTTTCTACAAAAAAGGAAGAGGTGGTCAAGTTTACATACTATGAAAAGAGTTGGATAAATGGTAACAACAAGTCTTGTATAGGTTTAAAAACTTTTAAATCGGAGATTATTTGAGATTAACACATGTCCCGTCTTCTCACCTGTTTTTGCTGTTGTTTTGGCGATTCAATATCTATTGTGACAGGTCCATCGTTTTGAATATGAACTTGCATATACGCTCTGAACTTACCRTCTGAAAAGACAAACAACGGAATTTCAATTGACGCAGTAAAACAAACAAACGAAAATGGATTTTTTTTGCGCGATCCGGTCTTCAGTTCAATGTTTGGTCCGATCATTCCGTCCAGTCTAAATTTTCTCAAAAAATGTTGATAAGACAACAAATAGAAATGACGACAAAATTGCACAAGCCTTTATAAACAATATCAGCCTCTAYAGGACCTAAAAGTTGAATAAATAATGATGATCACTCACCTTTAATAGCATCTGGTTTATAAGAACACTTCATTTGGTGCAAAAACTTTTGATATAATTGTTCGCTTTCCTCTCCTCCCATTGCACAATGAAAATCAGGCTTGTTCCCTTTTAAAACGGCATACAAAGTRAACTAAAACAAACAAACAAAAGACTAGAGGCAGTCTGGATGAATGAAGGGCAGGAAAAGAATTCCAAACTGGTGATACAATATTTGATATACACTTTAGATTTAGAGTAATTGATCATTTGAAGTGCATTTGGATTTTATTTTTTAAAAGATTAAATACAAGTGTTTTCCATACTGGGAAAGTTTTGTCTTTATTCATGCTAATGCTAATTTGGCAAAAAAGTCTCTCTCAGTATTTGTTTGCCAAGGAAGTGGGTAGGGCCTTTTCCTCTGCGCATGCCCTTGTTTCATCATTGCTACTTGCGCAGTTGTATATGACTAAGTCATCTGCATGCTGCAGTTCATCTTCCTCTGAAGTACACTTTTTTGTTTGTAATTATGTCTCTAGGTAACATGACGATAATAATGATTAAATCTCTCGAAACCAGTTGAAGTTGGTAGTTGATTAAATGAGATTATTAAATCACATGATCAAACTAACCAGTTAGAATGATGACATGAGATATCCTTAAATACCATAATTTGATACTGTCCATATCCACTAACCTGGCTAACACACAAGACCTCAAGTTGTTTATCTTTTACACTTTTTTTCCATCTCTCTCCATTTTCATCAAAAAGCCGTAGATTTAATATCTTTCTGACCCTTTAAAGRCAAAGGTATMAAAATGAAAAAAAGGCACATTAAAGAAAGGGGGGGGATTAATCAAGAAAAGCAGAACTTGGAAATCAGGGTTCAATCTTATGTTTAAGACACTAATGYTTGGTATTATTTAATACTTTAATAGATTAATTTATAGACAATGGTTAGAATAATATATGTTATTTCACTTGTTATTAGAACATGTTTTACTTTGTCTACAATAGTCTCAGTATCAGACAGCTGTGTAAAAAGATAAATTTTAACACCATAAAAAAGTAGGTGAAATAACTTACTGACGTTTCAAACATTCATCCTTTGTCGGAGTAAAGAGCAAAGTAAGTTATTACTGATCACCTACTTTTTTACGGTGTCAAATGAAATATCTTTTTACACAACTGTTTCTTTAGAAACACAGATGCAGCTCACACTAGTTTACTGCTAGTTTTTCCCACCATTTACAGTATCAGGCAGTCTGGTCTGCGGACATTGTCTAACTCCTCTCATCATGATATGGCTTACATGTATTCAATTTCTTTTGRTGTGTCATCTCTACAAATTCCAAGAAGAACACAAAGTCCTCTTCCAATTGAACTTATCACTTCACCATCAACTAAGGAGAAAAATAAATATGAAATKATATTGKTACAAAATCATTAGTGAAGGYGTTGATGGTACATGAGCAGGTCTCTATAAAAGAGAGCATGTCAGCAAAATGATTTATGGCAGTCAAAAATTATAGTTGAAATTATTTAGTGTACAAGTGGTAGATCCAGGAATTACAAATTGGGATGGCTAACCCAATAAATAAAATATCAAAATGATATATTTAGCACTCTCTCAACTGTTGGGGACCCTTTCCCTTTCACAACACTGTGAATGATTCAGTTGTATCTTTTTCTTTCATTTACWGAATTAACTTGTTGTTATTTTTTAAACAAGAGGGGGGGAAAAATAAATTATAAATAAATAAWTTGGTGGTAGCTAATCGCCCATCGTTACAGTCCGAGTGCTGAATTACRAAGGATGCAGCTCACGTGATCGAGTCAGTTATGCGGCATACAAGGGCGCTATCATTATGAGGATAAACACATTGTTACAACACACGCACAAAGCAGCCAACCAACCGACCCTTATCTGATCATGGAGCACTGTCAGCTAGGATCGAAATATTCCATTTTTGCTGAGGGAGGAAAAAACGGAGAACTTGGAATGGTGGCCACTTATGGATTTGCCCTCAAGTGGTATTCAGATTCTGAGGAGAAGCTGGATATCCCCTCCACTGCCCACTAGATGAAAACGATGCTGAAATWAAGCTATYAAATAACTGACCATTTCATGATCTATGCAAAAAAAAAAGAAAAGAAATGTGAAGAAAAAATTGAACTCAAAATAATGCCAGTTCATCAAGCTTTTTTTATCCATCCATTTAAATTATCTAGATCAGATAAGTTAAAGCTTAGTCACATAATTCGTATGTTGTATTTATAAACTTAAGTTAATTGATCAGGTTACTCATATTTTCAAAATTTGAATTMAATATCTCTACATGTTCTCACTGCAGCCATGTTGACAATGTTTGATCGGCAAGCTGCATACCATAACAAAAGGAATAAAGCAAATCTAAATCTAAATCTCTGCTAGAAAACGTTATAGTATTCAAACAAATGCATTTATTTCAAGCACATTTCTCAATATTTCTAAATTCAAAACATCTCTCTCCCGCCTCTCTGACACATATTTACGTCATCTTCCATTTCTTACCATTTTGTACACAACAATCAATTTCCTATCAAAGTAGCACGTACATACCAGTTACACTAGCTTGAGTCACGCGTTGGATAATAGCTCTCATTACAGAAAACTTAGAAAAATATCAAAAAACATAAGTTACATTCTCCAGAAAATCTTTTTTTCCAGCGGTTATCGTTGCTGAGCACGCGTAAATGAAAGCATTGAAGCGTGAATGACGTCAAGTACTAGACTCGTTGTGAGAAATTGAAAGTTCATCGTTGTGATTCATCTTATTCAAGAACCGAACATCATGGCGTTTGGTTTATTTGTTGGTGCGATCGCTCTTTGGTACCATGTATCAGCATTTTGCTTCCTCCTAAGTTACTTTGTATCTCAGCTGTGAAGTGATCAGACGTTGGCTGAACAGATCTTCAAGGAGAGAAAATCCCCATTTCACTTGTTAGACGCAAAAAGCGTGTTCGTTCAAAGAAGAACTCCGTTGCAGGTGTACTCGTGTAGCAGAACTCACAGAAGAAAGCATACCCACCATTGAACTGTTTTACCGCTATAAAATGACTAAAGTGTGTGAAGTAAGAATCGTTTATATAAACTGGGAAAAACTTCGGTTGAATACAAGAGCATTAGAGCYAAAACAACGAACAAAGACAACGATGGGACATCACAAAAGATGGCCAAAAGTAAACAAAGGCTTTTTTCGACCAAAAAAATGGATGAACACTCGTCGTAACCGCAAAAAAGTTTTATCTTCCTTTTGAAATGCAACAGATAAGAAGCAATTGGGTTTATAACAAAGCTGATTGATGTCTTAGCTCTCTTTTTTGCTATCCTAGTCAACTCAAGACCAAGAACAGACATGAACATTTCAAACAGGTGTTACAAACTGTATGATTTATCCATGAAAAAATTGAAGTTTGCTGGAAGGTRACTTTTTTTACCAAACAGCAAATTTCTCTAGTTACAGACCGTAATCAATTTTTTCGTGATAGAAATCCGTTTGTTCTTGTTTTCTTTTTATTGTACATACCGTGTTGCCTCCGTGTTGCCTGCATTTGATCTACRTATAGGCCAAACGCGACTAAACTTCTAACCATATTTATTTACGCATTTAAAAACTGATTTCGTTTATGAAAACATATTCTAACAGAGAAAAACGTAAAGCACTGAAAGAATTAGTCCTAATTAAATTTATAACAAAAATGAGCACGGTAAGATTTCGGCATGAGTTCAAGCTAGGGAGGGAGTCAGTTGGTAAACCGTTTATAAAAAAAATATTCTACGAAATACTTTTACTATTTCTTGATATAAAAAAAACGATGGCATGTTAGCAATTGTTATTGTTTTTCTTCTAATCAATACTTAAAAGTTCTTATATAGATAGACAGCCAATACAAAATCAATATTGTGAATTGTTATCGGATAGCTGATGTGGATCTCTATACATTTTCAGGAATACAGTAAGTTGCAAAGTCAGGAAAAATCTAACTTTTATTTCTTTAAAAGGAAATTAGTTTTGATCAGCGTCAAGGCTGTATAAACTTAAATTACGATAAAGAATTATTTTGATTAAATCGTTTGTAAACAAAATGTTCGTATTTGTCTTTCTGTGCGAATGCTTAGATATTCCGAGATTAATGTTTGTCCAAAAGATTACCAACCACGACATATAGAGCACGAAAATGTTTCAGTAGCTTTTACATATTCTCTTTAACTGTTTGATTTTTGACTGATTTACTCAATAACAACAGTCGAACATGGTCAAACAGAGTCAGAAAAATGTGCTTGAGAAATGGCAAGTTCTGTTGCAGCGAACGAGGAAAAGATCAATATGGGCAGCTGCAAATTTTTATTTTATTTTATTTTATTTTCCACATACATGGATGTTCGTTCATTTCCAGAGCGCAACCACCCCTTTCGGTTCCAGAGACTGTTATTATTATATTACTTCATACAGCGAAATCCATTTGAGAGTGACTCGAGAGACCGAGGTCATTCAATTATTTTATATGACTGATAATTGACGTTGTGATGATCGCTCCTTACACCCGTTTATCCAAACTTGTCATCCATATGTGAATAACAATTTTAGTACATGTGGAGTTGGGAAATGTGCAAATTTCAAATTACTACGTGTAAAGACAGTTCCGCCTTGCTCACTGATGACAAAAAGAATCTACTGATAGATTATATAACATCTGTAGCACCAAAGCGAACAAACTAAAAGAGCATTATGCAAACAGACTAGACAGGAAAATAAACACAAGCACCTGCTAATAACAGCAGTGAATGAATCCGGAGGAAAAACCAGTGACGGGGGGAGGGGGGGCGTGACATGGTATAATGGGTCAGAGATCAGACTTTTTTGGGAGATCAAGGGGATCTGGGAGAAGGATTTTAGCTTTTTGGGATGGGGATCAACAGGTTCAGCTGTGAAAATACACTGGATGGCACGGTATCGCTAATTGGCAGGAAACAGGGATCYGTGATGGACTAAAATTCTTGGWAAAAAATAAGAGATCACTATGTGATGATCCCGATATAATCGCAAGTGCATTGCAGAAGATCAAAGAACTAAAAGCCGGAAATTAAATTAACCCCTTTTTACGGACACAAAATGTTTTCGCAACCCGTCACGTATATATCTTTTGGATACTTTAGGGTCAGATATGTGTGCAAATCGCGGACGGGTTGACCATAACGGTTTTGTCACATGACTGACCGATTCAGTAATGTAAACTGATCTGAAAACAATCATTGGGAGGCCGTTTTTAAAAAACGCTAGCCAWGATAGCCATAATACAAAGGTGGACCCAACTGTTTGCTGCTTTGGGATTTTCCGCGTWATGTCCTAATGACTACTTTTATATGCAAAACCTGTACTATCCAACCAGATTTGTATAGTCATACTTAGAGCAAGACGTCAAGTTTTTTGATTTGGAGACAAGCCAAGCTTCCCTCGCAAATGTATAGATATTATAGAGCTTAAGCCTGACGTTCAAGGCTAAACGGCAAACGGCAGAAAAGATCATGTGACGGCTGATTTTTGGGTGTTTYCCGTTACAGTTTCGACGCGAGAGTGGGTTATTTGGGGGTTGCCATAATCGTGAAAAGTCGCTCTTTTCAAATGACTTACAAAAGCACAAGGTCAGGCACGAAATACTTAGGTCATTGGTTCAGCTTTGCCGTTAGCCCTTTGCCGTAAACGTCATTAAGTTATTGAATAAACTCTCTATTTAAAGATCATCAACTTCCCAATCTTTCCATTTTTACACAAAAGTCACGCATTCATGCACATCGACTACTCGTTTACAAMAACGAAATAAACAAAAAATAAGCAGGCAAGAAGAAAAGCAAGCAAAAAGAAAAAAGACATAAAAAAAGAGAAAAGAGAAAATGAGTATCCCAGGATTCGAACCTCTACCAAAAGAACTGAAAAAGGTTGGGACGATTCCCCCGAGACATTCTGTGAAGCTGAGGCKKCGAATCGATTTACATTCCGGTTAGAGATTTCGGCTCTTCCATGCTATCCCGATAATTGGTCCTAACTTCGCGCTAACTAAAAAGCCAGTGAGGGAGAAGCTATCCGGCCCCTAGACACTGATGGATAACCCCTTGCACTAACTAGGCAACTATCGAAAAAATAATGTCAAATTGGGATAGTCTATTCGGTGAAAGTGTCAACTGGTCTATTATTATGTAAATGAGCATGGTCCAGTGGCGCAACTCGTTAAGGCGCTGCTTACRGATATGATCGATTGTTGTTCTGTGGTAGTGGGATCGAACCCTGGCCGGCACATTCTATGAATTATTTGCAAATCGTTTGTGTATTTATTGCTAACTAATGTTTTTCTGATATTCCTCTAACTCTTTTGTCGTTTTCCGCATTCTTTTCTATAATTCTTATTTAATCTAATTTTTTTAATTATTTTTAGATTTCATTACCCCGTCGTGCTAGTTTTTGGGCTCCCTGTGATAAGAAACGGTGTTTTTGGTCAGCGTCTATAACCCGTTGTCATGACATCATCCTATCCTCCAAAACAACATGGCGGCTCCAACAAAGTTGAGCTGTATTTGACATTCACATGTATAATACCTAAAATTCAAGCAAAATCGAAAGAAAAAAGTGATAAGTGATGTCTAGTGAGCTACAAGAAGTGCCAGTGCGGCCACCAGAAGTAGTAACTGTCTCGATTGTTAGGTGTACTAACTTGGTAAGTTTGTCTTTTTGAATTGACTTTACGCTKCAAAACCTGAGATAAATTTAGCTTAAGCTTATTAATCTAGCTTAAATGCTTTCTTAAACTTTTGCCTCAAAGACTTAACAAATTTCCTGTCAATTTTCAGAAAGGTTCAAAGGGAGATGCATTGAATTCKCTTGTACGTGTCGAATTTGGAAGTGTTACTCTGGGCGAATCTTCCAAAGTTGAGGCAAACACTGAAACACGTACAACAGACTACAATTTTAACAGTACTTTTGAGTGTTCCTTTGAAGATGRATCATCTTTAGACGCTATAGCTCACAAGCCAGTTGTTGGTGAGTAAATAATGTAAATAATGTAATGCAACATTCAGAAATGAAAGGTATAGAAGTGTGGATGATTTGTCAACCCTTTGATCACTCATTTTTTTTTTTTTTTTTTCTCATTTTACAGTAACTGTGATTGAAGTACTCCCAAAAGATAAAAAAGGCAAAGAAGAAAAAACGAATGTTCTTGGGCAAAGCTGTATTGATTTAATTCAACTATTGCAGGGTAAGGCAATGACATATTTGATCTTCCTCTGTAGAGCTGCTTTTTAATACATGGAAGTACCTTTCTYTTTGCCATTGTGAGGTAGTGATTTGCTCTTTTTCCCTGAGACACATGCTAATACCGACATGAATAAGTTCATTATAAGAATTGTTAATGCAAAATATCGAATTAAGATGATTGATTAACAAACAAAGGGAAGACTCTCATAGTATACCATTTCTTACCTACTTTAGGTGAATGCAGTTTTTCAGTAACACAACCTGTACACAGTATTACAAGTGCTGACAGCAACCCTGAAAATGTTTTGGTAAGAARACTCAGCATCAAATTTGAATAAATGATGAATAGTATTTTGATTTTTACACTATAGTTTGTATGGGAAATCGCCTGACCTCGAGTACAATTTGGAATTAATAGTAATGAGTAATGTTTTGAAAGTTTTTCATAATTGCATGAGTTTATAGTAAATTCAGTGAAACAAAATTTTATAGGGAGTACAATTAACGCTGTTATTGTATTCCCCCCAACCAATGAAAAAGTATTATTTTGTTGAATGTACTATAAATACATGATACTTGTACAGTGACACACATGTACATGTACCATAAAGCTGCCTGCATGTTGRATGCTTTTGTTCATACTATACATTTAAAATCTGTTTTAGCCTGAGCTGGAAGTCACGGTATCAGTTTCTCAACCTCTTTTAAATGAGACTCAGCTTCAAGCAAGGTAAGTGCTGTAAACAATTAGGAGTAAAAATTGATCGTGACCTGTGAATCATTTTATAATAAGGTATTTTGATCATAACAATATTATTATAAGTGAATGTCTAGAAATATCAGTGATTTAAAGCTTCTAACCAGAAGCCAACATTTTTTCTCACAGATATATTTTATTTAAAAATTATGCTATATATTTTAATGACATATAATATAACTCCATTGTTCTGTTGGATTACATTATTTTTTTGTATATAGATCAATGTATTGATGTGAATAATAATTTTGTTTTAGCAACCTTGTGAGTGTTCATTTGGATAGCATTTATTCAATACCTGAAGCCATGCAACCTGGTCAACAGTTTTTATACACAGTTAGCCTACCTATACCACTCTCAGCACAGGTAAGACAGACCCATTGTTAGTACATGTACAAGATGATACTAATTTTATTACCGACTGGATTCAACGTCCTTCACGTTGACACTCTCTCAATGCTCTACAACTGTTTATTCTAAAACTGTGTGGTGTTATTTTTAGAAAGAGAACACAGTTGTTTTACCCAATGGCATTCTGAGGGCACCAACAGAGAAAGAACCTGGTAACCAGCGTAAATGGTGTTCTGCTCCAAGTGCCTCTGGTACTTGTCTCTACATTCCTGAGAGGTAACTTTCAATTCATGTCAGTTTTAATAATATTATTTTAATACGTTATTATATTGTGCATGACAATTCATGTTTATTATATGTTTTACAGTGTTGTAAATGAAGATATTGTATCTGATGAAGAAGATGGTGATTTACGAGATAAAGAGGTGATTTCAACAATTATTCTTTTGAGCATGTATTATGGCGGTTTGTAGCTTGACAGTGCTGATGAGTACTAGAGAACATTTCTTATTCAATTAGAGCCAATCTTTCACCTTATTTTGAGAGCTACATGTAATATGCAAAATGAGTTGAGATCTAGAAGGTTCTAAACAATGTTCCCACCTGACTCCAAATATACACAGTTCCTTGTGCTGCAAATATTATATGTCTAGTAACCTTTCAACAAGCAGTATATAGTTTGCGGCGTTAGAACTGTCAACTTCAAATCACTGCAAAGGATAATAATTCTAAATTAAACTGTGACATAGGACCAATTGTTTCGCTATGAAGCTATGAATGASAAGAACCGCATCACTTGGAATGCTGAAAGAAGGTGTTTTCTAGGAGCTGAGGCTTCTGAAAGGTACTTCTCTCTTTGATAGCTCTGCCTTTCATCAGCAATAGAAAACATGCCTGAATTTCTGTTCTATTGTTAGCCTACAGGCCAAAATTGCTCAGAATAGAGTTTGGCCAGTTGAAATTGTAAGGACACCTTTTCCACAAGCAACAAAGGCAAAAGGAAAGCAAACAGCAGTTGACGAAGAAGTTAGCATTTCCTACCATGGTGTAGCGTATGTCAACATGGCACCCTTGCTCTATCCAGGTGTAAGCAGGTACAATTTTCTTTTGTCATTTTGTACTTGTAAGCTCTCTAAAGATAATATTTTTGAGAAAGTACATTTAAGATAAAGATAAATTCTCCAGTGAGTGAATTAGAAATCGTAAAACYTTAGGCTAGTTTTTGCTGCTCATGCTTTGAATTTACTAATTTTTACTCAGTGCTATAAATCTGAAAAGGAAGGTCGACTTATACAACAAATATATGAAGAAATTGTAATTTTTTCACATAATTTTAGGGGTCGACTTATACGCAGTCATATACGATATTTTTCCCTAGAATTCGTGGCGCATATCTTGTCAAGCCATTTTTAGAAAATGAAGTTATGGAAAAGACAAAAAGAAAAGGGAACCTTTCTGAAGAGGCAGCTCGTATTGCAAGTGGCATGAGTAGGACACTGGTTTCTGCGATGGCACAAAAAACACCAGCACCATCAAAACAAGGCAAAACTGATGCCAAGGCTAAGGTGAATTATCCATGTAGATCCATCACAATMAATGATTGTTCATATTCTAAAGTATTCCTGTATTTTACCATACTTTGGTTTAGATCAATGTGTCATTGTAAATTGTTTCTATGAGCCTTCCATTAAATGAATGTTGTCTTCATCTTTATCAGCCATCTGGAGCTGTCCTCAAACCTGAGGCTGGATCTGAAATTGATTCTACTGAGGTGAAGAATGTTGAGGGACAGGTATGGWTTCGTTAGTGTTTCTTTGACTGTTAGTATCTATCAGTCAAATGCAGTATTTTCTCTTTTATAATTGCCTGTTTGTCTTTGGTCTTTTTTTATTTACACCCTACCTTCATTACCTTATTGGGTGGTCTTATTTTGTAGATGCAAACAATCTGCTTAAGTTTGGTTTTTGTTAGTAGTATAGATGTGCTGCATGTTTGTTTGATTCCTTAATAAAGTTATCTTTTTTTCCAGCAATATCTTGATGCCAGAACATTTGTCTGCCTGGAAATAGTGCTATCAAAACCACTAGTACCTAAACGTCCTCCTTCATCGTTAGCTAGAAAGTGAGTTTCTACATATCAAGTTCATGGAACTTTACTCTGTTAATATGATTACTAACCAGGAAATATACTCGCTTTAAGGGTCGCTGAATATATACCACCACGCCCAGTTTTTGCTCGCAAAACAGGAGGYGCTAAAAAGGTGAGAAGAATTATGTAAAGTAATAAACAGCTGTTGTTATGGTTTTGATCGATGCATGCTATATACATTGTTTAGTCACCAAAACTTCATTTATTCYATTTATTTATGTTAGGCAGTTGAGGATTATCACTTTCAAATCACAAGTGTTGCCAACTCATTGCTTGAAGAATTTAGGTATGAAGATCAATATTTGACATGTAATATGTTCTCAGTTAAGGACCATTATAATGACACTTATAATTTTAATAGATTAATTTACTTTTTTTTGTAGGCAAATGTTTGGCGAGGAAGTGATGGCAGGTGATATTCAAGAATCAAATGAAGCCATGGATCACAGGTGATTGAACATAACTGACCAGTAATACTGGAACTTTGTCTATACCATAACTGACCAGTAACTACTGGAACCTTGTCTATACCATAACTGACCAGTAGCTACTAGACCACCAGTTATAACATAACCGACCAATAAGTACTAGACCTTTGTTTATACCATAACCAACCAGTGACTACTGGACGTCCGGTTATAACATAACTGACCAGTACAATAAATGACTTGACCTTTGGTTATAACATAACCGAATAGTAACTACTGGACCTACAGGTTACACCATGATCATCCAGTAACTACCTGGCAAGTTAACCTACTAATCTGAATGCTATGCTGTATTTCTATAACAGGAGGAGAAAGTTTTTGTATGAGCTCAATACGTCTGGAAAGTATTTTGCATTCAAAGAACAGATGAAGGTACTGATCATAAATTGATACATATGTGACAATGTTTTAATGCAGCACCACCGCAAAAAAATCCTGGAACACACCCTATAATACTCCCTCAAATATCCATATAACATCCTTGTAACRTCTCTGGCAGTCTATAACATTACTTGGTTGGGGRAATCTCYTTTCTAAACTCAATTAACTGTTTTTTAGCTCAGTGTTATCAAGCTTGTGCGTGAAAAATATCTCAAGACAACAGCCTTTACTGATAAAGATGAGTTACATGCATTCCTTAGTGAGCTGTATATATTTCTTGTGGACCAAATGCATCAAGCACTTGGCAAGGTAAAGATATCATAACTAMCATCATATAAGGATAAAATAATCATATTTTTGGGGGGTAAAGGATGAGAGCCTCTTGTTCTGTATTGCCTCCTTGGAAATTGGGATCACAACGTTTTAATGGGTTGGTCATGAAGGACAATCATATTGACATTTTTGATTAAGAAACAGACTAATATTATAACACTGGTATCATTGTCATTATAAATCAACAATATTGTACTAATGATGTCATCAATGAAAAATTGATAATTGAATTAAATTTAATTGATTCTTTGATTTTTTTTGTTGTATTTTCTAGTTCATAGCAGCTGATGATGCACCAGAAGAGCCTGCACCAATCACTGACTCAATCATGTTAAAACATTTTGCAAGAGAAGCAGAGGTATGATCAATCTTACATTCCATATCTTGTTTTCTGTCCGTCCGTCCGTCCTGAAGTCTTTCTCAAATGTATTATTGCACTTTCGTTCTTTTTTTGTAAAATTATTTCTTAACTTTTAAGGTGAATCAAAATTACGAATTAGCTGCAAAATACTATCAAGAGGTAAACTTGTTGTTTTATTTTTTTATCTCATTTTCATTAACAATTTTATTGATGCCATAAATGAATCATTGGAAATATGTCATTTTAGCTACCATTAACATGATGTTTTGTTTKTAGCGTCTTGCTAGAAGTAAAAACGATGCAGGTCATTGGTTTGATTATGGAGCCTTCTGTTTGCTGATTGGCGACATATCAAAGGTAAAGCAATCCACRTTGAAGATCGGTTTCTCTTACGCTATGATTCCTTTGTTTCCTTCTCTTTGAATTTGACTGTATCTCTGTTTGATGCGCAATATTTCACGGAATTTCATCTTCTATACACGTGGTCTTTATAACATGAGGTTGACTCACTTTTCATTAAAGAAGCACGGCCGCTAAGTTGATAGAGCACTACTAGAGTGCATGTAAGTATGTCCAATTTTCTTCAACAGGCAGAAGAATGCTTTAAGGAAACAATTGCTCTCAATCAGAAACAYGTGTCTGGGTAAGTTTTCTCTAAGCTTACTTTACAAATACAAGTGTGTATGTTATTATTAATAGTTAATAATTATTATTTTGTGTTTTCTAGTCTTCTCATGTAYGGCTCTGTTTGTCTGATACTTGAACGATACGAGGAAGCCGAGACGTTCTTCGAGGCAGCTACTTGTATTGAGCCAGAGAATGTCATAGCGTGGACAATGCTTGGTATGTCACAAAAAATCTCMAACCGTTTTTGAACATCTTCGGAAACTCAGGGGCTGTGAGTCTTATTTCCTCGGAAATGTTTGTTTCTGAAACACTCGCAATTTCCTCTGATAATAGTTTTGAATTCTTTACTGKTTTTCCCAGGTTTATATTACGACACCATACAAAATGATATTGGGGCAGAGAGAGCTTTCCTTGAAGCCAATCGATTYAATCTCCACCATCCTGTCAAACCTGACAGACCAACGACTGCGGAAAAGACTCCCGTGGAGGAAGAAATCGCGAAAGACGAAAGTTCGCCTACACCTGCTGCACCAGCCGAAGGGGAAGAAGGTGTTGTTAGTGATATTCCAGTGGTTCAAGGTAACTGWTGCATTATCTTAGTTTTCTTTCTACTGTGAAGTAAAACAAACCCACACGTAAAGGCCATTAATTAAGAAAATAGACGATTTGATATACGAAATTTAGCCTTACTTAATACTTATTCAAAGAGTAATTATTGAAATAGTTGGCTGAACTAGTTCTCATGAAGGGAAATCATCGTTGAGTATTTGCTCACACTGTCTCATACATAYGATTCGTCTTGGTTTCATAGTTGATGGAGCCAACGTGCCTACCGCAGACGAAGACCCAACAGACACACAGCAATCATCACAAGATGYACCTCCAAGCACTGCTGGAGCTCCTCCATCAACTAACGTATCAAAACCACCACCCACACAGTCACCAACCAACAATACATCCAAACCACCATCTCCTCCTGCTAGCAATGAAGRCARCGCACCCCCTAAGGAGGCTGTTCCTGATATCATGCAAGAAGCACAGGAGAGCACTYCTAAAGAAACTAAACCTGCCGTTGGTATCTTCCTACAGACTGCGGCTTTTTTGTTGGAGGTTAATGGTCTTCAGGTAAATTGATGCTACAGCCTTTGTAGCTCACTCTTTATTGCTTTTTATTTAAGTTGTAACGTTATTCGAGTTTTTCCTTTATTTATTGCTCATCTTTCACCTAATTTGATTCCACATATAAAAAAATCTTGCTGCTGCGTTTAYAGTTGACAGAATCTGCTCTAGCTCATGAGTTAGTTGCCTGCAATGGCGAACCTAGTGCTGATTACTGTGTGATGCTCGGTCGGTTAAAGATTCAACAGGGGTTGTACGAAGAGGCAGAAGATAAACTTAAACAGGCTATCGTATTGAATCATCAGGTACTGTTGATAGTACTTTTAAATTAAACCAGCAACAAAATGTTTAACAAGTATATTTCTGATACCTGATCCAAAAACAATTATCATTCTGGATCTATGACATACTATAATAATAATAATAATCTTTATTGAGGATACTTTTTCATTGAAAAATGATTTTCRAAAAGGACCTCGAAAATTTCTACKCACCCTTACCGTAATTATGGTTATGTGTCTTGAGTGACAGTAGACGCTTGATTGACAAGACGTAAACTGGAAAAAATCGCTCACTCTGAAGGTTGTAAATTTGATGTACATATGATTTAAGTATCCAAAATGATGTAAATTTGATGTAAATGATTTACGTCAAATTTACGACCTATAAAGTTCGCGATTTTTTCCAGTGATGTGCAAGTATGTGCGATGTTTTCAACCAAATTATCTTATATGCAGAACCCAGACTGCTGGGGCCTTATCGGCCACCTGAAATACTTAATGGGTAAGACAGAAGAAGCTCGAGAATGCTACGAAAGGACCTTGTCATATGTTTCAGAGGCCTCAGATATGCATGCTATTTATTTGAGATTGGCATCGATTTACTTGGAAAAGGGGCAGGTAACAATCTTAACATATAATATAAGATGTTATTAATRAAAACAGTGGTTAAAATGTTTTCATGACCAGTCATTCTAGAAAACTCAGAGAGTGTTGAGTGCTGATTGGAGCGGGCAAAAAGGAGTAGATTTAGTCTTACTACTCTCGCCTCTTCTCCCACTCCCTTTAGGGCCGCTACGCCGGCTACGCCTCCTCAGGACCCCTACTAAGATGTCGTCCCTGGGTTTTCGAGGATGTCTTGTAACAAGATTCCTCGAATGGGAATACTACAACAAAAACTATCAATGATGATGACGATATTGATGATAAACGTTTTTATCATTGCCAGTACATAGCACTAGTAATAGCATTTAGTAATGTGAACGTTTTTATGCGACTTTCTTCATCAATCGTGTTCTTTTTAGTTTCAGGAAGCAAAAAATACCTTTCTTAAAGCTTGTTCTCGATCACCTTCCTGTGTGTCGTGGTTAGGTGTTGGTATTGCKTGTTACAGGGTAAGATATCCATCCAAGTTTTACACTCCACGATATTTGCTAGTAACAATAGTTTTAATAGGCTTAAATCCACTGTACATACACGCCTTGTTGTTGTGCACTGGAAAAAAATCGCGCACTTTAAGTTGTAAAGTTGAAGTAAATATAATGTAAATCATTTACATCAAATTTACATCATTTTTGACACTTACATCATATTTACATCAAATTTACAACCTTTAAAGTGCGCGATTTTTTTTTCCAGTGGTGTTATGCCATGCTAGCTTGCATACAGAAGTAGAGAGGGAGGCAGAATACGAAAAAATAAAATTTCCGTCCTGTTTGTGCCTTCTAATGCGTCTCCAGTTTCTTCACAAGTGAACTTAATCGTCCATTATAAAAAACAATTGAATAAATCGACTGTTGTTTCATTTCACTCGCAGCTTGGCGAACTGATGGAAGCAGAAGACGCACTTTCAGAGGCAAATATTCTWAATAACAAGGATGCTGAAGTTTGGGGTTACTTGTCGCTTGTATGCCTAAATGTAAGTTCCTTTTAATTAAATTTTTGATATTCAAAAAAATAAAGAATGTTTTATAAATATGTTTTATACTCAGTAGACGAATTGTTGATTGATCACGAGGCATAGGAGAGCGCTTCTGTTATTTGATCAATTCTCAATTGCTCTACATGTATTTTCTCTACAGGGATTTTCTTGGTAACGTTTTTTCTATTCAATGACTGTGTTGTTTTATTATAGACTGCAAGACAAGTTGAGGCTGAGCAGGCTTATAAATACGCTCTCAAGGTAGGGACACTAATTCAAAAAGACATGAACAAACTACATTCTATATGTACGCTTCTTCTCCTGTATTCCTCTAAAAAAACATTTCTGTATTTTTCTGTTCCCCCTTTATTTTCAATTTCAATGATTCTTACATTTTGACAATCACGATGTTGGAATTGAATGACATTGTTTTAATACCAACCCATTCTTATTTTAATCCAGCTCAATTTGAAGGACGACAATCTTTTAACCGAAATCCACCAAGTACAAGAACGCGTTGGCTTTGGAAACCCGATCGTTGTGTAGATAATATTGTTAATGTGGTATTTATAACTATTGTAATTAGCTTTTTAAAACAACTTAATCGATTAAAACAAATAATATGTAGTGCTATATTAAGCGTTCTACTTGTCATTTGAATTCCTTTTCAAATAGCCTCAGCCCAAACGTGAAAAATTCCACTGGTTTGAGGTGAAGCTTGTCTTTAAGAACCTCATGACCCTTGTTCGTCAGGCTTGATTGCTGAAATGGTGAAAATATAAATGGACCTTTGATGGCGTTCATGGCGCATTTAAACTGTTGTATGAGATGGGCGTGGTATAGTAATGGATCGTCTGTGTAGATTGTTGTAACCCAATGAATGCAGTCGGTACGTGGAGATCTTCGTCCATGGCTGAATGACTTCGGAAGCTCACCACGACTGTAATCGGCTGGACTTCGGTCTGCATATTGACTGTCGGTTTCCTGGAAAACGTAATCGATATTTGTACGTAGGGCTTCGTAAGGTTCCCAGTCGATGATAAGTGTCCTTTCTTGAAACAGCACATTTGCTACTTCTTCGGTAAAGATAACATCTGATATMTCTCTCTTGGTATATGGATAGAGTCGTATGGCAGCAATTTCCATACGTATTTCTTCAAGCASCTTCGATGAAACTTCATCCTTGTCGGCATAGTATGCGAGAATGTCTTGATCAAGAACTGCTCTATCGCCATTCTTTTTCTGGATGGCCAAGCGTTCTATGTTGTCCGACTTGGTTGTAAAACGCTCTCGGAAAACATTCGGGTAGTGCGTACGAATAAAGTCGTGAACTGCGTCGATGAGTCGTGAACTTAARCCCTGCCCTCGGAAATCGGGATGAATTCGTAGACCTTGGCTTATAAATGTTTTACCATTGTCAACGATGTTAATGGCACGGAGACCAACAACCTTTCCATCTAATTCAGCTACAAAGATTAATCTATGGAGACTTTGAAGCCAATTGTGGAAGACGCATAGAAAATAGTCGTGTCCTTGGTAGATTCCTTGGGACATTTCACTGATCGCCTGAAAGTCGCCTTCCCTCGCTTTCCGCACTATAATTTCTTTCATTTTATCCCGGGATAAAAATGAAAAAGAAACTTATTCCTCGGAGTACAAGTTGAATAAAAAAAGCGTCCACGATTTCGCTTAAATACTATTTCAGCATTTATTTGAAATCATTTTAATGCATGCTTTAGGTTAACTAAACAGCTGTGATGTGGATGAAAATTCCCGATGTTCCAGCACTATTGGTGTTTWAATGCGCTAGATTACGCGACTGTTAATTGCTAAAATGGTTTCTACTCACCACGTACCAGTCGTTGTGTTCCCATACATTGTGGGCGGGGTCAGGCGGGGTCGATAGATCACCATAAAATAATATTGCTAAACTATTTTAGTAGTCAGTACTGTTCGATATTATTTCAATGTTTCTTTCTGAATCTATCAAGTTTTCATTTTAAGATCAAGCCTACAAAGCAAAAAACAAATTCTACGACAAATATTCTTTTAATGATTCTCCTATTCACCATATGTTTACATACAACTGCATGTTTTTGAYTGATTGTAATTTTTATGCACTTAGAGTCATAGTGAAGTAATTGTGGGGCATTCCGGTGTTRAGAAATAATATTACACAAATCACAGAGCGAACAAGAGATACTTATTGTAGTCTTTTTTAAGGTTAAATTGATTTTTAATTCTCATTGTTTGAAATTATTACCATGACTTTATTTTAATTTTATTTTTTCCACGTCRCAGTTTAGCAATCCCAAGGGACCCAGAGTTACAAACTTCGATCCTCGACTCCAGTCTGGAAAATAATTCCCTCTTCTTTTCTTTCTTTCTTTCATTATTTTAACTGAAATATAGTCTCTATGTTAGATTTTTATCGCATCAACTTTTTTTATTATTACAATTTCGGATCGCTGGAAAACATACTGTAATCTAGAGAAACGTGGTTATAAACATAGCACTGGAATTCGTGAATGCGTCTCCTGAGCACACTAACAGAGACAACCTAAAACAAAATTACCAAGTTTTGGAGTAAAAAATTACTTGTTTTGTTCGTATCTCGCTGAGTTTATGTGGAGATATATGCATAAATATGACAATCTATTCCAATGTAGCCGATCCCTAAGTCATTTAGAGCTACTCTACAGGCTAGTAACGAGGTATATTTTTTTGCTGTTGATCCAGATCAAAACGGCCTAAAAACGTGATCCCGATCMCAAAACTCCGTACATTTTGAGCCCTGATCCCCTTACAGAATCGCTGAAAAACATCATTGATCCCGATCCCAGTTGAAAAACCTTTGATCCCAGGTTAAATCCATTTGATCCGGATCCTGGGCCTAAATCCTGATCCCTGATCCCAAAATAGTTCTGATCCCTGATCCCAAGACCTCGTTACTAGCGTACTCTAACCAACAACCACGTCCACGTTGTCAAAGTGTCAATGAATTGGCGTAGTCTATCGAGAAAACTCTGTCGAAGGTTTGAGGGCCTGGGTACGGATTTCTCCATTGATTTTCGGATATTTACTAGTTRTTTTATTTCTCCTTTTTTCGACAAATAAARCCCACGAAACCACAACTCGAAAAATTGTGAAACGCAATACCTTTGCAAAGCTAATCTACTTTGATCATGTTTGAAGTCTATCTGGTATAGCCGGRCTTCCTGTCCCTCCCAACATATAAATCCTGAACTTTGCGCACTACCTCATAACCGTTTACAGTAGTGYACAGGGGTAGACATCAGAGCYTGGGGTCCGTCTATTTCCTCCCCTGCTGATTATCTGCCTAACATGGGACGGGTGACCTCACGGSCACCTTCTTGCATGTCTTTTTTTTCTTCTTTTTTYCCTTTTTTTTCTTTTCAGTTCTATTCGGTTTTGTAACATTAATACTATTTTTAATTGCTTTCATTTGCATCACATATCGGCAGTCCGCTGGGCTCGCTATATTTAATTCATATTTTCATCTTTTCGAAAGTCCTGCAGCAACTCTTCTGTTGATCTTAACTTTTGGATCGCTTCTTGTGGCTCTTTAGCTCTTTACCGTGTCCATGAAGTTGATCGTGTTTTATCGATGTATTTGTATGAAACTCCTTAAGAAAGCCATATACATGTATTGCAGATCATTGTTGTACGATATTTAACCTCTCATGCAGAAATTTTATTTATTTATTTATTTATTTTTTCACTGAATGAGTCATTGACTATTTATACAAAGCGTCCCGATAGGAGATAATATCATTATTGTAAAATCCGTTACATAACGCARCATCCACATTTTACAGTATTTTGTCTGGATTTTGCGAYCATTTTCATTCTTGCTTTGAATTTATAATCACTAAGAACTTGCATGTGCGTTTTTGGCGGCCACATACAGATCTCCATATATTCCGCGTTCTCCTTCCATATCTTGGTAAAATTCTCTTTTTCTTTGCTTTCAAACAATTCATGATTTGTAGCAATGAAGTGCAAGCACCAATTGAAAAGATTAGTAGCGAAATACACCTGTGAACAAGAAGATATTGTTATTGATGTATGATTGTTATAAAACTGCCAAAACTGCACGCAAAAACGCAAAATGGCCTTGGTGAGACCATGCAATGACATTCTTGCAGACCTATACCCATCTCACATTTGTGGCTCTAGTCCAGGACTGCTGTATTTTTGCGCATTTTTCACAACATAATTGCTCCTACTCACAAAATTGAAAATCCTGATTTCATTTATTTTCAGCGCGCATTGTCACTTAATAAGCTGTCAAAACGTTTACCTCTGAGCATTTCAAAGCGTCCATCACTAATTCTACGATATGTTGTTCATCTGTTTTCTCCAATCTGTTGATGATACACTCTTCACAACGCTGTACAAGGCTTGTAATCATGAATCTATCAGCAATTTCTAGAATATTGTGGAAGTTGGAATCGTCCAGARAACAACTGTCTGTGTACAGAAAGTCTAACACAATACGGAAATGTTCCAAGGAAACACCATGCAGTTTTATCTGGAAAAATGGAATAGTTATATCTTAGGAATAATGTCTAACAGCTCTTTGGCCTTGTCTTGAAATTTGTCGAACTTGGACCTTAATTAAGGCTCTTCACAAAGTCATTTTTTTTTTATCTGTTCACTTGTTGATTTCTTTTTTTTTTTTTTTGCAGTTGATGAAAGAAAGTTCATTATTAATTAACTGATGGATACATATTCACAGTAATCCCCATGTCGATCAATTATGCCACAGGAAAACTGCTCCAACAATAATATCACAATACTGCATTTTTATTGCAGCTTTTCTTTTGGGAGCAGGTCTCCCAAGGGGTGAAAAAAAAAATATATATATATATAAAGGAAGAGCAAAATAGGCATTGGAGGTACAAGGTCTTTTGAGGGGTGAACACACACACCCCTCCCCCTACCAACCAGAAGATCCGCTACTTCTAATACTAAATGTATACCTGTTGTTGATCTCTTTCCATGAACTTCCCCTCCAGCATAGCAGCCATGACAGGTGACCTTGAGATAAGAACAATTCGATGGACTGCAACAGGTGTGTCTTCAATGATAAAAACTTGATCTGTTGGATAATGACTCAGAGTTGATCCCTCTCTCCACATCCTGTGATAGGAGTCTAGATAGGAAGGCGGTGGAACGACAACAATCCTTTTTTCATGTGAAGCCATCGCTGACTTTAATATTGGCGGCAGTCTTTGTGGAGGTGGTGGTATTATATTATGGCTTGTGAAAGGTATTGGTGGTGGTGGAGGAGGTGGTGGTACTATCTGGTAATTATTTCTTACAAAAGGTACTGGAGGTGGTGGTGGAGGAGGTGGTGGTACTATCAGGTAATTATCTATCATGAAAGGTACTGGAAGTGGAGGTGGCGGTGGTGGTGGTGGTGGTGGAGGTGGTGGTGGTTGTAAGTCCCAGTTACTACCTCTTGCAATAGGTAGCGGTGGTGGCGGTGGTATTTCTGGTACTGAGTAACAACTTCCAAAAGGTGGTGGTGCTACTAGGGATGGCGATATAACAACATTAAAATGTAAAAAATGCTGAAAATTTATTGGAGCTGGTGGGAGTGGCGATGCTGCTGCCTCTAACTCGTTATCACTAGTTCCAGTTGGGACTACAGGAAGTTCTGTTGATGGTGTCTCTGGTATAAAATCACTACTTATAGAAGATAAATGCAGTGGAGGTACTGGTATGGCTGGTCTACATAAAGACTGAATTTCTAGCTTCCTGGCAGCTTTTTGTATCTCAATCCTGAGATCCAAGTTGTCATTGCTGTCCCYGTCAAATCCCATGCTACCRGTGTACATCCAATTAAGAAGATRTAGAAATGTTTTTCTTTTAATTGTTTTGATGCAAATCTTGTGCATTTTTTTAGTGCAGTCTTGATTGTTTTGGCAATYTGTACACTGTATGACAGTAAATGGTGACTCTTCTGTTGAATTTCCAGTGCAATGGTTTGTATCATCAAAACTTCTGTTATGATTCCAAGTCATTGAGCCTTCAAATAGTTCTTGGAAGACTTTTGATGCCAAGKAAAGAACAAATTTATGAGCATGGATGTCCTGAGGATCATCTYGACACCTAATCGTGATGTCAGTTGCAGTTTGTGATTGTAAAATTCTTTCCCAATCGATGGACAATGTYGAAGGATCTTTGGGATAATCAGGGGGGGAGACTACAATTCAACAAAAGTCTATGTATTAAACTTTGATATTTGATATAAGACATATAATTGTAGCGATGAGAAAAATTTGATTTTGGTAGCTTCATGATGAGAATTTTCTGCATACAAGGCTTCTAGAATTTTATTATGCTTATTAAGTCATTTCTTTTTGCAATTCAAATAAAAACAGTTTACATAATTCAAATTTTTCCTCATACTTTTAGCAAGATGGAAAGAGATGAAGTCAGCGTTATTTTAAGGTCACTAAATCTTACTTCCGCTGTTTCCCAATAAGTATTTTATTTTTCCCAAAAGTATTTYATTTTACTCACTCGATTGTTCCAAGTTTGTAACATCATAAGTTTCTTTCTCCGGTTCTAGACGTCTCCTGTGTTTTTTTGACTTTATACGGTGTCCAAAAAACGCCGATTGAACAGCTATGGTGAAGACAGTCTGGACTGAAGTATGGTCCATATAGCTGACTTCAATATAAACACGTCCATGAACACCGTCATTGCCAACATTGATGTTCAAAGAACGAGCAAGCACTCGCGCTTCTTCTTCTCCAACCTCTCTCCTTAAGAGTAAAAAACAGAGTAAAAGAGTAAACGAGTCAATAAACCACATTATTATTATCCTTGGGCGATTCGCAMTAACAGACATAATCAAAGTAAAGAGTAAAGAACAGCTGTACGACTCAGCGCGTAGCAGTTCTTAAACTGCCATATGTCAAATAATGAAAAGCTACAACAGTTTAGAAAATAACTTACTTGTATTTCAGATCACTTTTGGTTGCAACTAAGATTATTGGCTGCTTGCGTTCGTACTTTCGTATGTCAGTGACCCACCGAGAGACATTAGCAAACGATGTACGATTCGTCAGGTCAAAACAAATCATAAATACATCTGCACCTTTGTAAGCTAAAGGACGGATACTGTTGTACCGTATAGCTCCTCCAGTATCGATGATATTCGCTCGAAACGTACTGTAGAAGTTTTTGTTATCATAGTGGACACTAGTTGGATAACACTGTATCGAAGTTGTTGTTTTTGGAAGTACAAAATCTTTTGTAAAATAGCCTTCAGGAGAAGTTGTTGGATAGAATTCGTGGCATTTTGCAACTAGAGTTGATTTCCCAACATTCTGGTCACCAACAAGAACCAGATTTAGWGGTCTTGTAATCATGTGCATCGCGAATCTTTGYCAACATCACAATGGCTGACATAGTGGAGCGGGGCATTATATAGTCTTTCTCATTGCTATAAATAGCCAACCAATCATAGCACAAAGTACGTTTTGATGTCATACGTGAAGGGTTTTCCCTTGTGAAGTAATGTAAAAATTTGAAGATGAACTAATAACATTAAATTATCATAACAAAAATGCATTGAATTTGATTTCTACTGTTTTTACTCAATTAATTGCAAAATAGCATGTACATTCATAGTTTTTTGCTTTGGAAATATTTTGTGTGGCTGAGTATGCAGCCCCGGTCATGGATGAAAAGTATCGAAACTCAAATATGCTACTTGTATGTTGTATTCCTGTTAACTGTTGGTGGGGAGGGCCGGAAAATCAAATTCATTTTAAGCTTAAGGAAAAGTCACGTAGATCTAGGGTAGCCCGATGGTCATTATTTTGAATTTGATATGGGTCCATGGTACGAGGTTTTCTCAAAAGACTATGGTCCTTAATAGTATGTCACTGACTGAATGCTACTCCAAGGAGTCACTTGAATCCGTAACTATYGAACTATCGGATCAGACAGCAGACTGGCCTCTTGCTACTTGCACCTTTGACTCTGCCATGCGCAGTGTAGTGTATAGATTGAATGTCACCTAGTGGTGTGATTGGGGGGGGGGGATGGACCATGTTTAGATTTATTATACTGAATCCTTCAGGCCTTGCAACAATAGCAAACGTACCTCCCGTGCAGCGAATTATGGTTGACTCAGAAATGTAGACTTGTTCTCCTTGTTTTCTCTACTGTTTAATCGAAAAAAAATCATGGACAACCATAGGAGCTTATTTATATTTTCAGCTTAGAGATTATGCCCCAAGTCAGAGCAATGAAAAAAAGTCGAAAAGAAATTGATAAGATTTTATAATTACTACTTGAAAATTCATTTTACATATCCCAGAAGTCGTCGACATCCTCATCCTCACTGCTCGATGCGTTATAGTTACTGTCTACTTCCATCTCACCAACTGCACTTACGTTAAGTAACTGTGCCTAAAAGAGACATTATAATCTCAAAATAGATAATACGTTCATACATACAACGAATCAGGGTCGGATCCAGGACTTTTTCAGTTGGGGGGGGGGGGGGGGGCGTATCAAATAGAAATTTCCCCCTAAAATTAGCGAATCAATTAGAAAACTAGCTATTTCACTTGTTATTTTTCATTTGAAAAGACTTATTTGTTTCAAAAAACATGTACGAGAATTTAATTTTTCACAAAGTGGGGGAAGGGTGGGGGGACGGCCACAGGACCCTCCCCTAAATCCGCCACTGCGAATGGAATTGATTTCATTGCGGGGTGATCTTTGAATGAAATAAATGAATCAATCTTTGGAAAAAAAATAAAGAACTAAGTTCTATCAAAATATTTATCTCAAAAAGCAAGCCTGTTATAAATATTTGTTGTTTGAAGTCGTCAAGGGCTGTGTTGGTTCAAAGATTGCAATACTGGGCGACATCTCAAGTTTTCGAAGTTATTATTGAGATTATAGAAAACTATACGTACCCTTCCTCTGACTTTTCGAGCATGTTCCTCTCTTAGCTTCTGTTTCCTGACTACAYCATTGAGTATTCTCTGACGATTTCCCTGCATGATAGACATCTTATTTTCCAATCCCAAAAAAGTTTTCTCAGCTTTGATACGCGCCGGGCTGTCAACGATTGTCCCTCGTGAATTTTTTGCTACAGTTTTAATATTTTCCAGTTGTTTCTTTCTATTTTCAGCAGCTTTTGTAAGTTTCTTGGCTAATTGGATGTTTTTAATGAGTCTTTCCTGCTCGTGGTCTTTACGATTCCTCATTTCTGCCAATCTTGCAGCTGTTTTTTTCCTTGCTTCAAGAAATTCCATTCGTTTGTTTTCTGCACGTTCTTGTTTCAGAAGTATTTTTGCGATTGTGATAGATGATGCTGTTGGTCTATGGCGGAATTTGCAAGGTGGCTTTTTTGGTCTGTTTTGGGAAATATTTATGTCAAACGCTTCCCACTTTTGGTGACTTCTTTTCCACAAAACATTTCCATCCCCTCTCTCCACAAACACTGCAGCTGAACTATTCTCTTTGGTTTCTATGCATTCAGCTTCAATAACTTTAGGTTCGACTTTGGTACTTCTGCGTAAAGTAGTTGGTACACCGCCCATGTTTTCTTGTAAATGCTCAATTATGTCTTTTGTTACGTCAATCATACGTCATGATTACGTAATGCCTGCGCGCAATTCGTCTGAACGCGATACTTTCGATAGCACAAATTGCAATAGCAGTCAGAGTCAGAAAATGGAAAAATCCTTTTATTTGTTCCGATTATTTCTTGAAAAAGTCGAAAAAACTGCTGGTCCGACGCAGTGATTGTGGTCTTCCTGTGGAAAAATACCGCAGCTTTTGTCTCGCAGGCTCAAAGTAGTATATTTGTACCGTGAGACATCATGTAAAATTCCCATTCCGATGAACTCAATTAACGCATTTAAAAGGTACTTTAAGCGGGACATGCAGTCTTCAGCAAACAAGGAAGAGGTTTTGGAGAAGCCTAATATTAAAAGTAATACTAGTTTTGAGTCGTTTCCGCCAAGATTTGATGCTGCTGCAGAGAGAACATTGACCTGTCCGACTTGTGGTGGGTCTGGCAAGCTTACGCAAGGTACCTTGCTGACGGATTTGCACTTTTGTACAGTACTATGAAATTGTTTTATTGTCTTTTGGTCTGTAATTTGTGTATACTTTTGATAATACACAATAGCACAATTACTGTCGTTATATTGTGAAGTCTTATCTTTATGATTTACATGTAAGACTTTAAGCTTATAAGCTTAACAAGGTTTAAGTTAAGATTACTTATAAATTTAAGCTCAAGCTTAAYATATTTTATGTGTGCCCATTTGTCTAGCTGCTCGTCTGGCTTTAAGCAGTCCGTAAAATCATTGAAATATGTTTTAGCCATGCCCAATGAAAGATATTTGAAATTATTATTYGTGGATAAGTTCCAATATGGATGAGTTAAGGCACGCTGGAATAGATATTTGCAGAAAAGGAATGTAAAAAACAGCATGAAATATACATGCATCTAGCATAATAACAAAACGTTGTCATAGAGAAATGATACCACAAAAGACAAAAGAAAGCGTTCAGACCATACTTAACAGAGGAAGTCAGTTCAGCATGAGTGATCTTCTTCTATTTTTGTAACTTTTTTTATTAAGCTTAAGCTTAAATTCATTTTTACCAATGTACAAATGCTCTATTTCTCAGAAATCGTTTTTCCAGCTAAGGTGTATGGTTTTGACATAATAGTGGTTATTGTTAATGATAAACTTAGATAACACWGCGYTATATTCCACTGTCTCTTTGTTGGTTTGCATAGGTTGACAGTCCATGCATCATACTGTCATCACGCTGAGTCAAGTAGCTTTTAGTTATTACATKGACAATAAAGTCTTAAATTCATCAACTGACAACACAGTCTTGCACAGTGATGCCATTTGGCAAAAGCTGTTGATATTAACCAACGCTTTTATTGTTTTTCCCACATAAATGTAGTTTTAATGCTATCTAAACCCATAATTCTGATGATTCATTGCAGCATATTATTTCATAGGTTGCTTAGTTCAGCATATGAATCAATGTTTTATYAATTGCCATACAATCCTGAAGACAGACTGTTAAGTTTGAAGKCTTGGTCTCAAAGAAACTCTTTTTAATGAAGATTTTTATCACTTGCATKTCATTACTTTATTCCGAGTTAATCAGGATTAGCTAACWGTGATTATTAAACAACTGGATTTCAGTGTTTGTGTATGTTAAAATGTATAAATTAAATCAAATATATGGCATGAGCAGGTTGCACACAGGGGGGTACACAGGGGGATATCATTAGGTGTTGGAACGATTTCAGACTTGAGTGAGTAAGAGAAATATTTCAATATTATCATCATCCCATCATCATTATAGCAATTAATTGTAGCATTCTTTATTAGTTTGCATGATTAGTCTGATACAATGATTCTTCAACCATTTCATAATATATAATCATGCTGCTAACTAATTTCATGTGGTCAGAGCTAAAATAATTCCAGCATACCATAGTTAAGTATCTTTTGATCTTTTCAGAACATGAAAATGACCTAGTTGCATTGATACCAGTCAGAGATGAAAGATTRAAATCAAGGAAAAAGTATGAAAATCCAAAATGATGCAGTTCTGCAGTCGTATTGTTATACAATGCACAATGTTGACCAGTATTTATGACGATATTATTTTCTTTTCAGGGTGTACATTTTTATTGCAGTTTTAGTCGTTATATTAATTGGTGGAGTATTATCAGCAGTTTTCTTATTTCCAAGAGATGTCCATATAAAACTGACAGATTCTTCAGCGTTTAATATTACATTAGCTCCTAAAAATGGGACTATTGCTACCATGTATCTTAATGTAAGTTGTCAAAYTATTTTCATCATTGCATTGTAATATATTTAAAAAAGCTGTTTTGTTTTGTAGCATTACAGTCATTTGCATTTTCAAACAAGCCAGCGGCATGTTTAATGAATGTGATCCATTCATTTCAGAATACAATTCAAATCAACAACAGTAACTACTTTGATGTAACATTGAAAAAAATTTCTCAGCAAGTAACTTGGGGTGGGTCTATTGTTGTGGCTGACACTGAATATGAACAGCATTTGGTTGTTCCAGCCAAATCATCAATAAATGTAAGTAACATAAGTTGAAAACCACATTTTTACTRGAAAAAGTAATGCAACACCTATGTGAATGCTTTTTTGAACAAAAGGTGAACAAATATACACGTAGACTACCATTATTTGACTCTTTGACTGACTTTTATGTATTTCAAGCAATCTTATACAGCCTTTTGCAAAAATTATGAGAATTGTCTAAATATCTAAATATCATAATATCCATATCCATATATTGTCCAGAACACGCGGGTTTGCTAGAATAATTCATTGTTGACATCGAGAAAATGTTCAGAACTACGGATAAGTCTGTCGTCAAAAAAAAACTAAACTACAAAGACAAGGGACAAACGGGAATCGCGTGGGATTACCCATCATGCAATTGATATTATGATATTTAGATATTTAGACAATTCTCATAATTTTTGCAAAAGGCTGTAGATAAAAGCAATAAGTCAATATAATTATAATTTGTTTTCACAGCATAAATTTATCATCAAATTAATTTATAATGGAAAACAGACATGTACAAAAATGAAGTAAGTAAAAAAAATGAAGTAAGTAAAAAAATGAAGTAAGTAAAAAAAAGCTAGAAATATTAAACTCTTGAATCTGATACTATACTGACAACCTTTGAAGGCAACACTTCATTTTCTACTTTTTGGGACCCCTGGGGTATCATYTTGTCTTGTCCAACAGAGGGACTTGGCCCTTGGCCAAAATCAAGAACTCTTTCAAATAAGAAAAAACAGGAAGCCCAAAAACAATAGGAGGAGTGGAAATAGGAGAGACACTTGYAGSRGAGGCTTATCCTACACATGAATTTATTGACCATTTTAAGCTAAGAATAACTTCACAATGTGTTTTGTTTCAGGAGAGCATGTTGCTGGTTTGATATGTTGTTTGTTGTTGTGTAAGTATGAAATAACAAGCCTGCCATATGGGGGAAAATTCCTCATTTCCAGGGATTGTATAATGATAATAATTACTAKTTTATATAGGATTAATTGATTTTCCAAAGTTTTGTCATAAGTTCATATCTATATTATTTTGATATTCTGATAATGTGGTGTTTTCTCACTTTAGGACACAGGGAACACTTGATGGGTTGACCAAATCACAAGATGTTTCTAACAAATCGTATCAATATACAGAATGCCTTGTAAATGATCCAGATTGGTTTAAGAAATGTAATGACGTTTAAGTGATTGTGCAATGGCAGCCTTGGTTGCAGCCATTTTCACATTASATTGTGAATGTCATAATGTCTGCAAATAAGGAGACTAGCATCTTTGTTAATATATGAGATAAAATCTATTTTAAATCTGTTTGAATGTACCTAAATGTGAGCTAAAACTCTTTTTAAAGAGTAAATATATGTATAGATAATATGATTTGTCAGTCATTATAAGAGCTGCTATATTCTAATATTTTGAAAATATATCTACAATTTATTATAAAACATTTATTAAAAGTCCTCTCTACAGTGTCAATAACCTATTTGTCTCCAGCAACTTTAGTGACATTTTTTTTTTGACATTATTAAGAAGAATTATTAATGACTTCTAGTAACAGTGTAAATAACATTAATGAATTAGGGAATAACAGTTCAACAAGATTTTTCAAATTTGTAAAAACAACTAAAATTAAAAAAATAACCTTTGACTAAATGCTTTCTTATTTGATTAGTCTAGTATATGTTAAAAAAATTGGCTGTGTGGTATTTCCAAACTTGCCATTCAGTGGAGTTATGAATATAGGATGGCATATTAGCACAGGAAGCCCAACTCCCATTGGGTCCTTTATGTTTATAGAAGTATAATAAGATATTGAAAAAATTTCAATATAAAAAAAATGTACACGCAAATTATGATATGGGGTCAAAACAATTATGATCTCTCTAACATGAACGCTTGTTTTATGGTGTATATACCATCTCCCTTTTTACAAAATTATTGTCACGCTTGGGTCACGAAATCAATATCTAATACATCAACCATTTATAGTGAAGGTTGTTAGCAATTTGTCATCGCTGTGCTTGTTCACTGTACCCAGTCAAAGTTCTGTTTGTAAAATTGATGCAAGGGAAGAACATAGCAATTTGAATCGGATAAAGATCAATACAGGCGCTCCTCAGGAGGTCTTCGGWCGTGAGCCACGATCTTATTGTACAGCTCATGCGATTTGCATTTCAACAAACCAAGAAATTGCCTAGCATGGATAGAGGAATATGGGCTAAATTTGCCGTGTTATTGGCGTTCATTCCAGTTTGCTCACAGAGTCAAGGCTGCGTTGGGTCGTGCAAGTGCTTAGACGTCTATGTTCAAGGACAAATTTTCAAAGAACGCATTGTCAACTGTTCGAGCCTGAGTTTGTCGACTGTGCCAAAGATTCCAGATGGAACTACGCAGTTGTAAGTGATAAATCCGACCGTAAAGCGTTGCTTGCTCTTAGCCACGGGTATCAGAGGTTAGGTGGATTGTTTTGATAAACTCTAAATTATTAATTTTTAGGTTGTTTGCATTGGTGAATTTTTATGCTGTATCGTGCATTTTCAGATTGACCAGTGCGGCGTGAAACCTCTCCGTCTTACTTTATGATATAAGCTTTATTTATCTTTTGGCCTTTCTTTATGTATTGATAAAAGAACCTTTATAACTACGTAATTAAAAAAACGCTTTACTGTATGTTATATATTTTAAATATCAATTCCAGCTGTCATTATTTTTATCAAAGATGGAACTCTATTATTTTGGTGGCTCGGCGCTACATGTGGCTTTATGGAACAAGAAAGCCATATGTTTATTATCATCTTAGAATTAAAAACCTGTCTAATCTCTGGTATTCAATATTTCTTTATACTTGCATACATTCGATGTAAATCTAGAAATGGCAGGATCCCCTGCTGATTTTTCACAATAGTTTGACAACAATTTAACTTCAACCGCAAAAATGTCTATTCACTTCAAAGTCGTCCCTCTCGACCATAAATCCTCTTGGGATTTTGTGGCTTGAAATTTTTATGCCACTCCTTTCAATTTAAGTTGTATGGACTCGTATTCTCACAAGTTCCCACGCTCGAATTTTCTCGATCAAACTCGCACACAATTAGTAACTATTCCGGTTTGTTGACCTGGTTGATTCCAATGATTTTTTGTATGGAAATTATATATGCATTATAAGCTTAGCCGAAATTTTATTCGATTGTTATTTTTTTTGTTTTGATGATTGATTGGAAATTCGCTAATAGTGGGACAGCATTATTAGAAATGATAATAATCCCGAAGTATAAAAAGTCCGCGAGTCAACGTAATGGAAAAACGCGAGGGAGTTCTAATTCGATTCAAGTGCTTTCTTTCAAATGTTATAATTTTGCGTAGAGCTCCTTCTGGCAAATGATATTGGGTCTAATGTTACACCAAGGTTACTGCATCTGATAACTTTGAATTACTTGTAAACATAGAAATTTTAAAAACACAGTTGGCTAAATTCATTTTTGTTTTTGGTTAAAATGTTGATTTAATCTGATAAAACCAATACAAAATTTTGTGAATTCATTAATTGTCAGTGGTCCTTTCCTTGTTGCATGCTCGGTTGTTTTTTATAAATAAATGATTGAGATTCCTAGCATCACTGACTAACATGTCACTCTAATCCTTCAGACAATGTCTGTGAATATCAAGATAACCTAATTATTGAGAATTCATTAAAAAATATTAACAATTTTCACTAGGCAGCTTTGGGTAAACATCCAAAAAGTTATGCTAACTAAGGGATTTTTGGTATCYATATGCAAACAAAACTGGTATTTATAATGTAATATTCTAATTTCCCAGATGGAAGTGTATTTATATCTTTATTGTTCATCCTACATGGATGTTCCAATAGATAAGTATTTCCTGTATTCAACTTGATGACTTGTGCTTGATACCTGTGATATCTTCAAGCCAATCTTCAATTTTCAGTGACGTCTGTTATCAAGATAATATTCATCATTATTAGGCTGTCACTGAGTGAAACCAAGCTCTCCCACATTCCTTGAAGAATGCACTAAATATCTCAAACCCTTAGGCTGGACTCATATTGATATGATCAATAAATAATGAGATTGTAAAGTGATTATATCTAGCATGCTGAACGCCCTCAATAAACATAAGGTACAAAACTACTCAACTTAGAGAATGCGAGGGTTATACATATTAAGGATTTGTTCAGGTCAATACCGACAGTACAGTTGATTGATAGGTTAACTTGAATACTGTTAACTATAGCTCTATTATATTACTGTCATCTAKCAATGACAGGAAATTGAAAAGGTATTTTTTAGTATCATAAACAGGTTGGTGATTACAAAGAAAACTTACTCTTTCTCATTTCCTTCTATGGAACAGTTTCAAATCAATATTCAATTATAAATCCTGTTTCAAGTGGGAAGCCATTCAGATGTCACTATATGATAATTAAAGCTTTGGTTATTGATGCTAATTAATCATATTATTTAAGGCATTTATAACAGTTCATTGTCAGAATTTATATTGTATTAACTATTTCATATTAAGTTGATTTTACTTTTCTTTTCGATTTTCAGATTTCTTTCTAATAACAAAATCAGTACTTTGGATGTTAATGTATTTAAATCACTTTCCAAATTATGGAAAATGTAAGTATAAGGAATCAATAATCAATTGTCATGTTCAGAATCAGTTCGCTGATCAAGCAAGAAAAACCCTTTGGGTAATGGARATGTCAAATTAACAAAACTGATGCAAATAATGGTCAGAYCAGTAACCAGTTGAACATAATGATTTATGATGATTTATTTATTTTTTCAGTCCAGCCAGTATCTTAGTCATTTGCATGCTGTGATTGGCTAGARCGCGGCCCGGTTTTTCACTATTTTCCTGGTCCACAGATGCCTGCAGCTATGCTGCAATCAAAGTTGCATAAAATACAAATAACAATAATAAAAAATGTTATTTATTTGCTATAGGTCGGTCCATATAGGAAAACACTGCCCTTTGTCTTTTATGTACGGAGCTCGCTRTGCTCATTCCGTACTGTCAAGACATCRGGCAGTGTTTTCCTATACAGACCGTACAGACCCCCCAGCCGGTAAATAACATATATGTATGTTTTCTTATAGTGATGTTAGCAATAACCAGATAGAGTCTATACCAAATGACATATTTCAATTCAACTTGAAGCTTTATGATGTGTAAGTATTGTCTAACAGTTGATTGACTAACAGATTGATAGATTGACAAATTGATTGACTGATATATGGATTGATTGACTGACTGACATATTGATTGATTGACAGATTGATTGACTAACATATTGATTGATTGACAGATTGATTGATTGACAGATTGATTGACAGATTGATTGATTGGCAGATGGATTGATTGACAGATTGATTGACTGGTTGATTAATTGACTGACTGAATTGCTTGGAATAAGTTGAAATATTTTGGCTAGTAATTAATAAATCAATTAATCAGATGAATATTTATTAAAATATAAATCAATTTCCTTCATAGAAATTTTAGTAAAAACCCCTTGACATGTGATTGCAATATATACGGAATACACAACATATCAAAGCATGTGAAGAAGTTTTCTGCATCATGTGCCAAGCCATCTGCACTTGCAAGTCGTGATGTGAAATCACTAAAACTTGATGAGTATTGTGGTGAGAAACAATTTTATTTTATGTTGGGTATTAAAATATATTATTTATAATCTCTCTGACGTATATTATGTTCATCCATATCTCTATATTTCTAGGTGGCTGTTTGGGACTGAAGTTGTCTGGCAAAAATGATGGACTATAYTATATGAAGTTAAAAGCAAAATGTGAAGGGTTTGTTCGAGTGTACTGTAGTGGGATGAATACTAGTTCTCCAAAGGAATATATAACATTGAAAAGTGGAGCAGTACGCAATTACGCTTATATTTATGACTACAAACAACCAGAATTAGCAAAAAACATGTGTGATCGTAAACCTGGTAAGATTTTAAATGGAAATAGCCTCTTACTTTGCCATCTACTAGAAACCCATAAGGGGCTTCAATTATGTAACCACTGTACTATGTTCTGGATCATTCAAAAGTAATTTGCACATTTTTGATACCATATTTGGTAGTTAAGGCTTGAGTAAAAATAGCTACTGTCACTTCAAAACAAAAATGTTGCTAATTTTGATGATTTTTGAGATCATTTTTCATTTTTTAATGATTTTTGCCCTGCTTGAAGAGTTTTGGATGATGTAATCAAGTAAATATTTCCAGCAGACATATCAAAATTTGGATAAAATATTCACTATTCTGCATTATTGAATGCAAAATAATATGTTCAATCACCTTAAATAATGGTTTTTGTAACAGAATCACCTTTTCATTTCTTGTTAATGCCATAYCAATGAATACAGTGAATGTTTCTTTAAATTCATTTGTTTTTTTTTTTATTTCATTTGTTTGTTCATTCAGTTTTTTATTCATTCTTCAATCCATACATTCTCTGAACTAAATTTCTCACAATTTTYTTTCATTTGCATTGATTCAGGTGGGACAAWATACAATGAAACAGGTCGAACCAGTTTCACTAAAGTACGGCTAGTGGTGAGCACATCTGGGGTGAGCATCAAAAMTGATGACTTTTCCTTTGCTGTCTCCACTGGTAAGCCAGTTCCTTTGGGTGTTGCTGGTGACTGCTACTCTGCTAGCAATGAAAACTGTCGGAAAGGACATTTTAGGATTGACTTGACTGGAACTGGTTTTCGATTAAAGGTAAAATCATTTCCTGRTTATGAAACATTCTCAAAAATGATATTCAACTTAACTGAACTCTTTTGATGAGTTYTGGTATCAAAAAATCATTGTTTCCCTGTTTTTAAGTTGTTTTTAAGTTTATTGATTGATGTATAAACTCCTGATTGATTGATATGTTGATTTTTTAAATGACTATTAAGTACTATAACTAATAACTTTTAGGACACTGTCCACTGGGAGCATTATGGGACACCYTCAGACATTCAGACYAAGCTTGATATTGATGCTGAGCGGCATCATGTATATGGAGAGTGTGGTGGTTACTGTGGTGGTTGTAGACCTCAAGGCACTTTACAACTTGAACTGGACTCTTGTCCTGAAGAGGGAATAAAGCGTAAGTCATGATTTATTTCGAGGAACTTTTTAACAGTGAAATGTTTTTCATAATTGCTATTACAATATGATAAGAAATGATAAGAATAATAAGAATGGTAATTATCACATTGATAAAGATGCATTTAATGAGGTACTTTATTTTGTATATGGTGGTGTTTTTTTGTGTTGATAATGATGATGATGATGATGACAATGCAGACAATGATAACAATAGTAGTGATTATGGCTACACCACATAATGACATGCATCTTAGTTAAATTGGCAAAAGCAAAGTGGTTTATTACCTTCATGCAATTTTTTCCTTTTGTCTTTCAGCTTGTGTAAATGCTCTTGGAATGGACGACCGCAGTATTGACGACAGTCAGATAACAGCTTCTTCAAGTAAACCCAACTATGAACCAAGCAATGGACGACTCAATCATATCAAGACAGCCAGTAAAGGGGGGTCTTGGTGTGCAGCTACATCTGATAAACTGCAGTACCTGCAGATAGACTTGACCAAACAGATGACAATCTCAGGGATAGCCACACAAGGAGCAGGTGATACACAAGACTGGGTTCACACATACAAGCTACAGAAAAGTGATGATGGAAGGGTTTTTAATGAGCATACAGAGTTTGGGATACCTGTGGTAAGAAACCTTTTTGGAGGGTTGATTGTTCAAATAGACCATTTAGTCTACTCATGAAAAATGTGGTTTGTGATCAGTTTTATGTAAGACACTAAGCAAAAGCGTTGTAATGTACTGGTGCTTACAGTCACGGTTTCTAATAATAATGTGAAAGGAAAGGGCAAATCTCTCTAGTTAATTACCCCTCAAAAGCTAATAGAAATAACAATGAAGATTTTGGTGTTATGCATGTTGGAGGGAACAATATCTAATAATTACCTAAACCATTCTTTCTAAAAAACAAGAAAGTCAAAGAGTTAACAGGTGCTAACTGTATTCTATATGTTATTTTAGGATTTTGATGGTAATGCTGATAACTTTAACATTGTGACCAACTGGTTTAGTCAACGTTTTCGTGCAAGATATGTCAGAATTATCCCAACAACATGGAATTCTTCAATTTGTATGCGAGTTGAACTTTATGGATGTGATAATGGTAAGACACTCTATATTCTTAACATTCATTACCATGACCATTCATCATTGTTTAAAAATGTTGTTGTTGCTTGTTCTTGTTTTGCTTTGTTTTGGTACATCTAAACTGAYGTCCTGATTTAATTCCCAGATATTGTATCTGTTGCTGTTCGTCACAAAACTGACCGYCGATGCTGGAGTCCAAGTGGAGACSRGTGTTCTTCTATSAAAGATGGTATCAATGTAGTGATCAAGCCAAGTTGTACAAGAGAAATGGATATGTTTACATTCCTCAAAGATAACACTATAAAACACACTTGTAGTGGAAAGTGTGTGTTCGTAGACTCAAGCAACAAGCTGTCTTTGAGGGACAATCCCTGTGATACCTTTATCAAGAAGAAAATTGGAGATTCCTATAAGATAATCCACCAAAGGACAAAAAGATGTGTTGAACTTAGTGATGTAAAGAAAGGAGAATTGTCACTGCAACCTTGTAGTGCTGGTGTGGCGTTGTTTGAGTTTACTCAGGATTGTGAGTTATCAAAAAATCTCAATTTCATTGAAAAATGCCTCTCGTGTTTTTATATATTGATAACACTATGCTAAAATTATTTCAGCTATTTCACCAATATCTCCCAAGATCACAGTCGAAACAACATATCTGACAGTAAATAAGCCTGGTTGGGTTCACTGTAAAGTAATCGCTGATCCAAGGGCTCGCATACTTTGGACCAAAATAAGACCATGGCCATCTGGTCAGTGGTTGTCCAAATTAGATTTCCTCGACTGGTCGAATGGATCTTTATATGTACGTCATACTAGGATGTCATATGCAGGACGGTACTATTGTTCAGCAGCTAACACAGCGGATTTTAGGTTTGGAGCTGTGGACATTAAAGTAGGAAGTAAGTTTGACATCTTACTTGTCTGTTTATCATGTGCGTCTATCAATTTTTCTGTTTTTCCATTTGGTGTTTTCTTGTCTGTCAAGTAATTTCTGCGTGTGACGTTTGTAAAATGTAGTGCATATCTCTTCTACTCCTTTAGCAAGCAAAAAGGACTTACAGGCAACAACAGTTGCTGTCCAGTGTAAAATGTCCTGTCTTTCTATAGATGTCTGTCAATTTACCATTCCTAAGTACCTGTTGGTGAGAAAGAAGTCGCACACTTTGATAGTACAGATTAATTTTTTTGTTTTTGTACCTCAGAGAATTTTAGTCATTCTTACTCATTTTATTAAGCAACAGACCCTAATGCACTCCCAGTCATTCAGCATTATCTTTTTTTTCTTGTCAGGTCCACCTAAATTCATCAAACCTCCAAATAACACTGATGTTATTCTGAATGACACTGCTGTACTTAACTGCGTCATTGCCAGCTCAAGCATTCCAACTRAGATCACATGGTTCAAGAAATCATTACGTGATCCTACTGCAATATCAATYGCTAAACTTAACCAGAGGTTTTTGGTTCTATCGAACATGAGTTTAAAAATCAGCAAAGTAGAAAAGGGCGATGAAGCGTTTTACACTTGTCAAAGAAAGAATCCTTTGGGAGAAGTCAATGGAACAGCATTTCTGAGAGTGTTAAGTAAGTAAWATAAAGATTTCTTAGAGAGATTKAAATGTAGTGTACTTTTTGCAGCCTTTTTTAGCACCAGACAACCTTTTCTTTCTCTTTATTGATCAATATCATGAGACAATTTGAATTTTAAATATTAATAATTAAGAAATAAGATGGAGCCATTTTTTTGTTTTTGTTTTCTTCAGTTCCTCCAAGTTTCTTTATATTCCCTAAGAATATAGAGATTCCATCTTCAAGTTCTCCATTGTTAACATGTAAGGGTGTTGGCGATCCAAATCCTACCACTACATGGTCYCGCAAGAATGGCTCTCCTCTACCSAGGAATGCTAAAGTTTACGCTAATGGTAGCTTGTTTATCCGTAACATCCAGCTCGGTGACATGGGTGTTTATATTTGCTCTGCAACTAATAGGGCTGGGACTGCACACACTGAGGCTGTTGTCAAAGTTTATGGTAAGAAAATTCATAGTACCAATTAACTTTTTCTTGACATTGAAATTATTTCCGTGTTAGCAGAGTCTCTGTTGTTTTTCTCATACTTGAAACAACAACAAGAGAGACTCTATCAGCAGCAAATCAAATCATTTAAATCAAAAATTATTGAAACAAGACACATTATAGAATACTGTTGTTGCCTAAGTTGGTTAATCTATTATTTCCTTGCTCTTCTGTTTTAATGGGTTTAATTGTCTATTGATCTTCCAGGTGCATGTAGAATCAACTCCATACCCTTTGCCACGTATCACCCTGAAAATATCTTCTTTCGTGTGGGTTCAGTGGTGATCATCATATGTTTTCATGGCTATGAGGTGCCTGAAGGACGAGTAACAAACATGACATGCATCTCAGACGGCACATTTAGTAAAGCATTACCAAAGTGCAAAGGTAAACAACGGCATGAAATTATCGAAAAAAAACAATAAGCTGTTCTTGAATAACTTAGCCATTCAAATTTGAGAAGTTAGTGGAAAATCACCACCAAAACTGAAAAGATCAGCCTAAAATTCGTAATTTTACCAAGTTTGTGAATAATCAGTTTATAAAATCAAGGAGGTAAAGCTTCTTAAATTCTCAAAAATTTAAAAAGAAATGTATGGTTCGTTTGAGTGGATAATTACAACAACACCATACATTTTTATTCTCAAACCTGGTAAATTTATTGATTTTAGCAKTGGTAATGATTGTTAACTATTGTACTTGATTTCGAATGACTGAGTTGTGATATGGCCTATCATAATAGTGATTTTCCCTTGTAGATGTTGATGAATGCAGAGTGGACCCCCCTGCCGACGGAAATAATCATGATGTGACGTCATATCATGAGTGTGACAAGAATGCACTGTGCATAAATACTGTTGGTAGCTATCGTTGTGAATGCAGTGAAGGTTTCAAAGGCAATGGAACGCATTGTACATGTAAGTATATCAACAAAGCAGATAATGTGGTATTGTTTTTAATTAGCAAGCTTGGTTTGTAAGCAATTTCATGACCACAAGTATTGTTTTAAGCTATAATGTGTAAAAACTCACCAGAATCTTGTCATATTGTATCAAAAACCTGTTTTTGATTCTGYGATGGTTTTCTTTCTTTGYAGCTTTGTGCCCTCGACCAATTAAYCCATCAAACAGTATTGGTTGGGAACCYATCAAGACATACTACAACAGCTTTGAAAGTATCAAATTATTGTGTGTTAAAGGATTCACAATTGTGGGAAATTCTTCAGTTACTTGTGGTTCTGATGGTTCTTTTGGTATCCTACCACAATGCCAAGGTTTTGGACTTTGAAATCTTGATATATATTCCCTCCATAGTTAGTAACTATGATTGACCCTGCTTGCTTGAATGAACCCCTACAGTGCCCTTAGGTTGRCTAACCGTTAGTGTGTTATCATTTAGTGTTTGCTAAAATTGTTCTRCTAAACAGCTCAAATTGTATTTCAGACATCAATGAATGCACAGTAGAAAATGCTTGTCCAGACAAGAACATGGTTTGTAAGAATCTTGTTGGGTCATATCAGTGCGATTGTAAGACAGGATTTGAAGAAGATGGACATGGTCAATGTAAAGGTAACTTCCCTTTTTTTYCCCTCACACCCTTCCAAAGTCCCCTTCCACTATCTCCACTTTTCTCCTTCCTCCCTGCCCTTCTTCCTTCCTTTCTTCCTGGCAAATGGACTTTCTTCTGTTTTCCTTTCACTTCCATTTGCGTGGTCTTTCTTTCTTCTTTTTTTACTCATTTGTTAATTTTGTTTTTTGCTTAGTACGGTATATATTTTCCAGTTTCTTCTGAATATCATGTTTTATTTTGTTTTGCTATAGTGGCTGAGAAAAAAAGATGGAAGTTAACAAATTCATTTAAACTTTTACTAAAGAAGGTATGAATTTGCACAAGAACACCAAGAACACCATCTCTCCTGCAAGTAATAACTTATTGCCCTGTCTCTTTCTTGTCTTTAGCTGAAAAACAAAAAGTCYGAAAACCTGACAGACTTGACTGTATTAGAAATGCTCAAGAATGAGACTGACAAAGGGAGTTTAACGTCTGGTGATCTAATAGTTGTCTATGAAACTCTTAAGTCATTGGCTGATAAAGCAAAATCTCCAGGATCACAAGAATCTAAGAAACAAGAAATTAAGGTATTTAAAGAAAATATATCAATAAAAAAAGTTCTTAGCAAGGCTGAGATATTATAGGTGATATATCATATATGGCATATCACATAAATGACATAGTTAATTCTGGTATTGTGGGTTATATTAAAACCTCCTTTGTATGCGATCTATGATACTCCTCTTTTATTCGTCTAAGGGCTCCCTTTGTAATGATAGAGAGGAACTGAGATTGAGAGTGAATTTTGCACACAGGAAAACCGAGGCATAGGACCAGCGAAAGTGTGGTGTCGAAAACGTTTAGTTTTCAGAGTGTTGTATTCTGTAAAAGTGTTAATGTAACATTAGATATAGTTAAAGTTTTAGTAATTATGTTATGAAAATGTGAAACTATTTTGTTTAAGGTCTTTACCCGAGTTTGTAGCAAYATTCTTGGAGATAAGAATAAAGTACAATGGGAAAACATCCAAAAGGTTTGTGGTAATGTTGTTTTAGAACATTTGAATGTGCAGTCTCCCAAAAAAGTTGGACTATGTTGTATGATTGGATAGTTCTCGTTTTATTACTGTTGTTTGTAAACAGGAGAGCAAAGGCGTCACACACGTCATGATAGTTGTTGATGACTATATTAACGCTATGGCGGACAGCGTCTTAWCAAATGGWTCCTCGACTCTTGAGTTATACAACGACAATCTTGGTACGTTACAATTGCTACTCATTGTTTCACGAACCATTACATTTAAGMACTCTACTTAAAGATTCCCTGCATTTAAGAATTGATGAAAAAAATACCACGTGTACATGATGAAAATGAGCGTGATAAAAAGAGTATTTACARAAACTRTTCTCTTCAAAGTGAAATGAGAGGTCTTTATTGGTGTTTTTAGATGTTAAGATTGTTGCGCATCAAGCTAAAATCCTACATAAAGGCTATCGYTACTCCAACGGTCAAACCTCTCAGATAKTGGTTCCTGGGAAGATTTTCCAAGACTATGAACCAGGTTAGTAAAGTTTTGCTTTTCAATTTAAGACTTTTGCAATAAATCTTGCGATGGTCCAAGATATTCCCATGAAAGTTTGAATTAGTTGATCATGGATCAAATAATACTTATTGATTTGCAGACTCTGAGGTCATCAAAGTCACAGGCATCGCATACAAAAGCCTTGCTGACCTWCTTCCAAACAGAGCAGATGGAGTCAAATCGTAAGAATGTATTGTTGTAAAGCTTTTGTTTGTCATTATAGTATACATGCCAAGTTACAGCAAGGCTGATGCTCTCAGCTTGTCTTGGAATTGTATTATCAACTCATTTCGTAATTTCTTCATTTCCAGGTTCGACATTGATTCGTCTACCATCTTGTCAACGTCACTACATCCCAAGCCTGTAATGCATGATGGGAAACTAGCCGCTCCTGTAAGAATTACATTCAGCGGSGAAAAGGTAATCGAAYTCATTGCAAATGATTTCATTTGACAAAAAGACAAGTATTCAGCTTGACGTTTKACTTTTTTTCAGACTACGAAGAAAGATAGTTTACCAATGTGTGTTTATTGGGACTTTGACAAGTAAGCTATACATTCATACTCGATTCCTCATTCTTTCTCCGTGGTCATGATAATCACCATCAGTGATCCAATCATCATCATCATCGCTTATTCATACGGTGACTTTTTGACGTTCACATCTCTCTTATAAACAGGAATTACRATCTTGGAGGGAGCTGGTCTTCTGAAGGCTGCCGCGTTGTATCAAGTACCAGGAACTCCACTATATGTGAATGTGATCACATGACAACCTTTGCATCTCTTGCTGTTTATGACAAGGTTGGTTTTAAGGTTATTCACTCCCGAAATCAGCATAGTTACAGTAATAAGCATAGTCGTAGCGATAATCATATGCGGTTTTTCACCCTACGTAAGCATAAGCATAAAACATAAGAGCGTGTCTTCGCACGACATCCGTACCAGATTATCCCTATAAATGCTTATGCGCTCGTAAAATTAGTAACATATGTTTTCATTATTTTGTTAAAGCTATTTCTATGCTTATGCTTATGCTATGTCATGGGTGTAATACACCCAACTTGTTCAGTTACAATGGCTTTTTATTTTCACTCAGAGTTTTGCAAAAATATGCTCAAAATAACTTCTTTTTTTACTGTTTTTGTACACAGCCGTTGGCCTTCACTTTGGTTGTGTATATTGCTTGTGGCGTGCTGTTACTCATTGTATTAATCTTAATTATACGCCATCTTTACTTGTACTGGTAAGTGAAAGCTTTTGTATCTYTTGTGTTGTTTGTTCTCTGTGTTGACATTATTTCGGCATCCTTTTTCTCTTCCCTATTTGTCAGTGACTTTTTTTGCTTGCGTCGTTTTGTCATGTTTTTCTGTCAATTTTTCTTCTTTGTYTTGTATCTCCAACTGCTTGATATGTCTTGTTGCCACGATTTCATGACTAATTTGGTTTGTTTATTTGTTTTTGAACAGCAAACGAAAGTCAGAGCGTTCCATAATTCATCTGAACCTTTGCTTCGCCATTGCTGCAGCGTTTGGTTTGCTGYTAGGAACCCTTACACTCACCAAGATAAAAGTAAGACGCTCATGAACTCTCCTTTCTTTCTCTGTAAAACARGAGAGACAGAGTGTTTTTATTTGGACTGAAGAGTCTATTAATTTATAAAATGGCTCCGGTGGATTTTTATAACGTATTCCCGGCCWTTCTGTTTTCAGATCGTGTGTATAGTGATTGCATCTCTTCTCCACTATTTCTTGATGGCGATGTTCTGTTGGATCATAGCTAAATGTCTACAGATATGTCAAACTCTTACYACAGGAAAAAACAAGAACTCGAAAAGAGTAAAATGGTTTTATATTGTTGGATGGTGTAAGTTTAATTCATTTCCATTCAAATAAACCTCTTTTCTATCATGATTTTTGCTGTTTGTTTGGCAACTTTTAYCATGCATTAAGGCGAATCTTTTATAACTGAACGCGCTCTCTAGCGAATGTAACTTTTTGGGACCAGTTGTACGAAATCTGAATAGCTCTATCAATGCAGTAAAAACGCATTAAAAAAACACTTGATTTTGCAAAGAATTTTGCAGAACACTCAAAAGGGACATAACTAAGTGATCTGTTTCACCGATAAATGACATCATTCATTGTATTGCAGTAATATTGTGTTTGTGTTTGCAGTGTTGCCAGCCATAGTYGTAGGGATATCACTTGGTATTTTTAAACTGCAGGGTTATGGTAATCGTGAATGGTATGTATATTGATCATTAGTGACGTCTTGTTTCGCTTATCGTGAAGATAACAGTTCTGAAACTGTTCTGTTATCGCTTTAATCCTATGAAATCAGCCTACTTCAACGACTTCGCCGATTTCAATGATGAGTTTGAAGAATTTTCTGTTTGTATAACGCTCAGAATCCTCTAAAAGCTATTTTTACATTTGCTATAAAATAAAATTGTAAAGAATTATCATTATTGTTGTTGTTGTTATTGTTGTTGCTGCTGTTGTTGTTGCTGTTCCTGTTTTTATTAGTGTTGTTTTTGATGTTGTTGTTAGTGTTGTTGTTGCTGTTTTTGTTGTTGCTGCTGTTGTTAGTGTTGTTGTTATTGTTGTTAATATTTATTTCGTTTTTCTAGGTGCTGGCTTGACTATGATCACATGTTAATGTGGGCGTTCGCTGGACCTATCGCATTTTTCGTATTTGTAAGTTAACTATTAGCATGATAACGGATAAACTAGATGTTGCGTTGCCTGTGTATCGGCATAAGCTACGATAACGTATCTATGATTTGTTTATTGAATTGGTAACAATCAATTTGTTTATTGAACAGGTAACGTTAATCCTCGTCATCGTATGCAGTGTAATCAAAGCACGTGTGGTTGACTCGTCTGACAAGACAAAAGTCAGGTAAGCACTTGATTAACAAAATGTATAGGGATTGATTTTCCCTAATGACGTCAGTGCTTGTTTCGGCGAAGTGCATCATGGTATTGATAAAGCATCAAGATGGCGGACGAGAGTGCTTCGGAAGACCATAAATAACACGTCAGCACACTAGATGAACATAAAGAAACTGTCTTAGAAGAAGCAATGCTTCTTATTCATAATCGACATGTGCTAGTCAGAGGAGAAACTACTCCTTCCAGAAGTCTCCTTAGTAATGTAGATTTGTCGGTATTTTAGTTGCAGTAGCAAAATGGCTAAAATTTAAAATTTGTTTTGTTTTTAGTGTGTCTCTAGCGATGGCGATGCTGTTAGCGATAGCAGTAGCGTGTACCTGGGTTGCCGCTGCAATTTACGTCAAAAACCATCAAARTCGTCTTTGGGAGTATGTTTTCGCTGGATCATGCGTACTGCAGGTATGAACGTGTTCACGTGACGGCCTCGTGKCGCCGACTCCTTGAAGAAAGATAGCGCACATCAACAGACTTCTGAACCTTTTACGTCACTACTTGATTTCTAATGCATTGTGGGATCCGTTTCTATTAGTTTCTCTCGTAGAGAAAACAAAAGAAATTCGCCATGTTTTGTCCCAAACATATCCTACAATGCATTGCGCATACGGTACATGACGTAAAAGCTTCAGAGGTCTATTGTAGAATTGTTTTCTGTTGATGAAGTAATAATAATTTATCTATAATACCACAGGCACTTATACTYCTTCTCTTTGGACTCTTGGATAAAGAGGTAACAAGATATCTGAGAGTTGAAACAATCGAAAGCCTTGTTTTATAACTTTGTGTGTTTTCATTTTAGATCAAGAATTTTTCGTTCTTATATCAAATTAAGAAAATACAGCAGAAGGAACATAAGGAGAAACGAAATTATTATAGTACAACAGACACAGTACAGGTAAAGAGTGTTTGGAGTACTTTCTCAGCATATAGAATACAAACACTAAAAGCATGCAAAAGGTAGTGGTGGGTTAATTAACAATGGAGCTAGCATACTTTAGCACTATTTTCAACCATTTCTGTTACACATACTCTTAGACTATCCAGTTACATTGTGACTGCTTGGCCATCCTTTGTTAATAAATTTTGGGAGAGGAGGGGTTAGGATGAGTCATCCTTTGTTAATGAGATTTTGGGGGGGAGGGGTTAGGTTGAGTCATCCTTTGTTAATGAGTTTTAGGGGGAGGAGGGGTTAGGATGAGGAAGGAAAGACTACAGAGATGAAAGAGGAAATTTGTCACTACTAATTGTTAGTGTGTATGGTTAATTAACAGTATTATGGAGCAGCCAACGCCCCTGATGGTAAGACGTATACTGTGACCAGACCATCCGCAAAGGAATCCAACCAAGACCTTCGAGGTTCATCAAAGAGATTAGCTCGTATTGGGTCAAATCAAGAAGTCAGCGAGACGCTGGATTATCCACCACCCATCTTTGAAACTCCAGTACCACTGGATGAATCATACAAAAGGTTTGTCTTCATTTATATGATAGTTGTATCACCAGCGTCATCATTGTCGCGCGGCAGTCGTCCCTTAGAGTTMAAATCGGTCGTATTGATTGGTCGGTACAACCACCAGAACGTTTATGCGAGCAATTTGAAGACAGCGTCAACAAAACGACAATTTCCAGTTTCCTTGATGGCCTTGTCCAATTATTGTGTCGCCACCATCATTCTCATCATTACATCGTTGTCATCATCACCATTATTGTTGTCAATATTTTGAATTTATACCATCAATTTTTTGTGTTTTTCAGGAAAATCGAAAATCAACCAGTTCCATACACACCTAGTTTTCCAAATAGCGAAGTCATTCAATTACAAACATTTCCAGCACGCCGTGGRTACCTTGGTACCCCACCCCAGTCCAGTGATCGACAACCAGATGGAGCCGAGTACCCAGAACCCTCTACAAATGGTGATCGCAGAGTAAATCATAATTACCGTTCTAGTTCTCCTCGTGATCTCGAAGGAACATCAAATAAATCTAAATTAGCACAGATCCCAGAAAAAGCGCCATTAATGCGAGATTACAGAGAAGACGAATCAATAGACAGTGAATTAAGCTCAAGATTTGACGAGTCAAGGGTAAGTTGTATTCTTGAATCACAYGGTTTAAATCCGCATCTGTGTGATAGTGATAACCATAAGACAAAGAAAAACATAATTGGGAAATAGTAACTACTTGAAATTAAATATCAGCGCAACAAAATTAAACCCAAAACAGCGATAACGATGGCCCGCCCTTAAGTAACATGCGTATTCTTCATTATTTTACAGCCACTTGCCTACGAAGCAGAAAGAGAACCACTGAAGTCAGATTCATCTCGGCGGAGATCGGAGCGGTCTCGTGCTAGATTAGAAGAACGATTCAAGAACGACTTGGACTCGATCAAAAGTCGAAAACGAAAATTACGCTATTCTTCAGGATATTTAATAGGTGCTACAATCGACGAGGACAGTCACGCTAGTAAAGATCACGCAAGCTTGTAAAATGTACATATTYATAGCACATACTAACGGTCACTTGACAGTCACGATTTAAAAAACAAATTTKTGAACTAAAGGGTTTTGATATGTTTCKCTCTCTMCAGTGGGAGATCACACGTCTCCAAAAACATAGTGTTATTAGTTTTTATTGTTGAAAAAGTTAATAAAATTAATCGATAATAACTAAGCCAGGTTGCTGTTGTTGTTKAACGTTCAGTTTTCTTATTTGTAGGTAGTCGTCGAAAATTTTTGTCGACGCAATTTACGTTTGCGTATTTCTTGATAACCGTTTTAGGGAAGAGTGCCYTAAGGCTGTTGTWCGGCCACATTARGKAAAACATGATGATGATGATGTTTGACGCAACTCTTATACTTAAAAAGCAAATACAAAAATCTCCGGCTGCGTTTGTATACCAGAGAATATTGATAAAACCGCGAAACAACTCGATATCGGTGATGTTCATTATAATATTTCGGTGTAGTATCGAAGTGTGTACGGGCAACCTTATAGCAAATACGACTGATATTTATATCTATTCTCTTTGAGCATAGGGTCCCCGCTCTTCTCTATGTTCAAAATGTTGGATGCAACAAGGCAGGGCACTGGGGAAGAGGTTGCGAGCAGTTACAGAATAGTTAAAGAATGGCTCACATAAAGCCGTGAAATGCACTCGTAATCGAAGTACACCTGTGGCAAGAGAGTGTACTTGTCAGTACTCGCTAAATCTGTGGAAGAATCGTTTCATGCCGATGATTTCACTCCATACTTTTTAATTCTTCTACTTATTAGTTTTCAATCAAGAATTTTTTTCGCTAGTTTTTTTTAAATAGAAACAAACAAATAAAAAACAGCAAACAAACAAAAGAAAAATACAAAAGAAAAAGAACACGACCACGCTAGGACTCGAACCCATGACCAAAACACTGAAAAAGGTTGGGACGATTCCCCCGAGACATTCTGTGAAGCTGAGGCGTCGAATCGATTTACATTCCGGTTAGAGATTTCGGCTCTTCCATGCTATCCCGATAATTGGTCCTAACTTCGCGCTAACTAAAAAGCCAGTGAGGGAGAAGCTATCCGGCCCCTAGACACTGATGGATAACCCCTTGCACTAACTAGGCAACTATCGAAAGTATAATGTCAAATTGGGGTAGTCTATTCGGTGAAAGTGTCAAGTGGCCTATTATTATGTAAATGAGCGTGGTCCAGTGGCGCAGCTCGTTACGGCGGAGCGTATCGCAGTTCAAAAGTGATTTGAGGTCAAAGGATCGAATCTCAGGCACTACCCGATTTTTTCCGCACATTCTTTTTCTTAGCAGATTTTGTTTTCTTTTGTTCTTTTGTTCATTTTTTTATCTTTTTTTTACAATCTGTAATTTACTTTTAATAAACACTTTATGCTTAAACGATATATGGAATCAATCGTCTGAATATTCTTTCTGCCCTGGAAAACGCGCGCTGGTAACTTCAAAGGGCCTGGGTATGAGAACACGCCAGTGGTTATTGCAGTCAGCGKAACAATTAAGAAAAAAATGGCGGAAAATTCAAGAACTCAGACGTTTCTTGCAGTTGAAACGGCTCGAAAAAATTCCAGTTTGCAGTACTCCTTTCTATAAATTGACGTTTGGGACGGGCTTTACCGGTAAGACTTGATTTAGCACTATACAAKCTTTTATATTCAGATAATTCTAAGTCTGCATAACAATGTTATATGGTCTCAACGACCTACACCTGGTTTCTAACGAACAATTATTACGATACACCAAAACTATTTTTCTGAAAAATTTGTGTTCTTTCTGTGTGTACGATAATCTATTATAGTCAATGTTAGGTTTCTTTGTGTTTCGGGGTATTGTTCAGCTTTGACCAATAAACCCTTGCATGTGACGTCAAAGAAGGGAAGAAGCTTCATCTGGAGGTCAAAACAAAAGATTTTTTCCCTCTTGGGAACTAGAATCTATTGTTTTGTCCTTCAGTTGGAGTTGCATTCCCACGAACTGCAAGGGGTCTATTGCTTTTGCTTTTGTTTCTATTGGATTTTATAGGTATTAAATCTGTATTATATAAGGCACACCCAGTTCTGTTATTTCAAGGAACTGTGAAGATATTTGTTTATTCAGTCGTTCATTTGTGTTTGTGCTTTGTTTAATTGTTTGTTTGAGATGCTATCTCAGTATATCATTATTAATGAATAGGGTGTGTTTTTCAATCTTGGACATTTTTATTGTCTGCAATAGGGAAAACTGGGATAATTTTACAACAACATAATAACTGACCGGTGTGATACCCATTTTTATGGGCCAACCAAAGTGTTTAATAGTTTTATAACATTAAACTTTAAAAATCTCAGGTCTAGGAAAGGATTAGGTTCTGTTGACCAGATCACACCACCCTCACCCCCCACCCTCCCCTAAGTTTCACATCCCCTTCTAGTTCATTTCTTCGCGGTTCCTGATCTTCCTTGCAATGAGCGGGTAGGAATAAATCACATCTTGATTTTGTTTTGTGCAGTTCAACATCAACTATTGACGGACAATTGATGTTTTCCTTGTCATATTGCCTTGTCTTGATTTCGGCTAATTAAAAATTACTSATTCCCTTCTAAAGATCACAAGTCGAAATTTGACGGGGAATAAAAAAATAAGCATATGAAACGGATAGGCGATTTGCGGGTAAAAAAAACAGTGCCCATTGAAAATAAATTAAATTCCTATCTTTACGACAAAAACAACTGCAAGGACAAAGGCGGTTAATATACGCGACTGAAGTTGATATTTTAATCTTTTTTCGATAAACACCAATGCTGCACTTCCAATTTTGTTTTCAAAACAATTTAAAACGAATTATCGCCAGCAAATGACCAATTTATTTAACGTTATTAGTGGACCAAGACAAACGTACAACATAATGTTAGTGTTCTTTAAAATAGAGGTTGCTTTTTATTTTAAGAATATCAGATCTTTTCTCATTGTTGTTCTTACCCCAAGAGGCGCTTTCTTTTCAACGCTTTTCTAAAGGCGATATCTTCGTTTTCCTTGCAAGACATATATTATGTATCATTTCCAATCTTACCCCCAAGCAGTTTGCGATTGTGTGTTTGCTAATTACGGTGCCGAATAACCAAGCACGTTGTAAGAGCGACTAGATTAGGTTTTCTGTTTAAAGTAATTTAACCAACACTAATAAAAATCACAGCAAACAAAGCCTCAATTAGGCAGTCTATACTTCGTCAGATTTCTACATCGTTTTCCTCGAAGGTTTTAGAGGACCTTCCCTAGGCCTATTGCTTAAACAAGAAACTGGCCATTCTGTCAAASGTAATGTAGCTGATAAAATCTATCGTGGTGAATTTTCCAAGAAGAGAAATCTTTCCTCAGCCACACGGAACCGGAAAGGTGAATGAAAACACAGARAACGTTTTCATTAATTCTTCTTGAAAAAGAAAAGTACAATAGAAGGGGTAAACAGACTGGTCAGGTATTTAATATGTACATAGCAGGGTACCCCAATGATCAATTGTGCGCCATTCACTTCCAACTTACTGTATGTAATTGAGCTTATTCTTAAATTGCTACTCCGATTTGATTGAAAATACCCTTAGGCTGAGCTTAATCAGTCGTATCTTTCTTGTTTAGATGCAGATGTTTTGGTGGTCATACAATAATTCGGTTCAACTATCAGAACAAGTCGTATTTAAAGACGAGATTTTGAACTCTTACAATGAAGGATATACGGTGTTTTTTAATTTGGCCAGATTAGCAAATAATTACAGGAAATTAGGTATTTTTTTCCCTTTTCGATCGCTAAAATGTTCTTCTGTCTTTCATTGACTCAATGCCACGTTTCTGTGACTTGGATTTATTGACAATAAAATAGGGCAAAATCATTCAAGTGCTGAAAATAGCTTTTTAGTTCGGAGGAGAGATCACTTTGGGGGATGAGAGCGGTCCCTTTTGGATATCAAATTGAAAAGCAGACGATACGGAGGTATAAAGGCTGGTGGTCTCTACCCCATGGTGCTGTTCGCTTAACCCATGAAAGCTTACAAGAAAAGCCGAATTGACTAGAATACTCTGTAGAAAAATGGCCTAAACTCTCCATACCAATAACATTATTAATAAAGCGATTCAATGTATGCCTAATAATGATCATTCGGTATAAAATAGCCTTCTAACATAAACATACTTGTGTTTTATTGATTATTTTTTGTCTATCCGCAACAATGATTGTCAAAACTCTCGCAGTAAAACCAAGACTTGTTGATATATATATAAACTTGTATGTCAAACTTCGCCTTTTTCCCCGATATTGAATACTGCTTAGCCATTTAAAGCAAGCAAACCTTTTGAAATAAAACGCCACGCACATAGTGGAGCTAAAAGCTCTGGACTGTGCTAACAGTTTGGCAAATTACTACTTCACCGCAATAAATGGTAAATGTCTACTGCTCTAAAGAACAAAAAAAATAACAACTTTTAATAATTTTGTTACATGAAATAGAACCAACCACTACACAAATACATCATAATTTTATTKGTAAAAATGCATCTATTTAGCGATAATATTGTTGGATTTGTTTTTAAAGTATAGCATATTATTATGTTGATGATTATATACAAAAGTGTAGATGAAGAGGAAAGTAAAATGAGCGTATTTGACACAAAATATGATGACTTATCACTGTTTTAGTCTTATGAAGAATTTCAAAGTTTGGATTTGTTTGTAACAAGGAGAAACAAATCGTTTTGTTAAAGATCTTGATGAAGATAAAGTAGATTTTTGTTCGGAAATGGTCACTTTTATGTTATTTGGGYTAATTGTTGTGTACTTTTTTGAATAAACAAACAATCATCAAAGCACTAATCGGCGTCTACCATCTTATTTTCTAGTTGAAGTGCAATTACTATTGACTTAATCACAGTTAAGAATTCTAACTACAACATGATAAACACAAGAAACTAGTTCACTGTTTGCATTCTCATATTTACACCGGTTCTCCACGTTTAAAATGCTCTTTACATTGACTTAAAAAATTTAATTTATACAAAAACAACGATGAAGTTACTAAGATAGTCTTTGGCTCATCGTTGACACTGGAGAATGAATAGTTTGTGTACCGTTCTTGAAGTAATGTGGTGAATAATAATTTAGGTACGTCGCAGGATAAGTCATGCTATTGGTATAGGTCGCTAGTCGAACTTGCTGCTCCATTTGTGCCTTTTCTAGACGTTTATCTTTCGCTCGACGATTTTGAAACCAGATTTTCACCTGTGTTTCTGTGAGGCTTAAGCAAGCCGCCAACTCAAAGCGCCTCGAACGAGTTATATACTCGTTTTGATGAAACTCTAACTCGAGTTTCAGAGTTTGCTCGCTTGTAAACGTAGTTCTTTGTCTTCGTGGTTTGTTTTCTTTCCTTTTCCGTCTTTGTGGACCTGATGGAAATAGAAAATTGCTTTGTCAATTAAAGGTATTAAAAACGAACGACGAGAAGTGTGAAGCCATTTTTTTTTTTTTTGAACTCTCACGTACGGTCTATAGTGAATCAACTAGAAATACTAAATAGAGAAGTGTCAAAACTGCAATTATATATATTACCCCGACTATTTAAAAGCAATTATAGCACTTAGTTCTAACATCGATAGCTTGTGTGAGATTCTCTATGACATAAAAGGGTCATATGTGGCATCATCGTCTTTTTCAGGATATTTCAGTGAATTTATGACTTAAGTGTGAAGTAAAAATGCCCTTAAATGAACAATTCACAATCAACTCAAACGGAAACGAGATTTTAATTACAGTTTTTCTTTTTTGATACAAGATGATCGCATTCAACTCAGGAAAACAAGCTCATTGATGATGAATAATAGATAAACTTGGTATTTTGGGTTATAACTGAAGCATTTCGTCCTTTCTTCTTGTATTAATTGGGAAAGTGTTGAGTTTAGATTCTATTTCAAAACGTCCTTGATTGTAGGGAGGTGTTTTTAGATCGATTCATGAGAAGAATAACACTCCGGTTCATATGGTTTTGCACCTACATTTGAACATGAAGTTCTCATTGCTCATGTCTTCCGAATTCAACATATTCTTAGCTAACACCTCATTAGAGAAAGTTACGTTAGAACAATGATTACAAATATGAGTTCTTTTTCTAATTAACTGGAGGATCCATTTGCAAGAAAATTGTTTTTGCTGGCACGCTCTGGACTTTTCCTCACCTGGCGGTCGAAGTTTCATGGGATAATGATAATAAAAGAGATAATTCGAGCACAAATAGCTCAATATGCTTAACAGAACTTAACGATGAAGATAGATAAACGGGTTGAGATTCCCTCCCTCAAATAATCAACAAAGATAATATATTGTTTTCAATCATAGTTTCCAAAAGGTCTGAAGTTTATAAAGAGCGATGATTAAAAAGGAACACTTTTCAAATAGAATCAGTATCTCTTTCATGTTGACCAAACATTGGTTAAACAAAACAGAAAAAAATAGCAATGTAAGTGAACTGGAAAAAATACCATAGAATGATAGAGATTTTCCTATGTAACTCATCTTTGTATAATAATTGCTAACGATAGAAAAACGGACGGAGAACGTAGCTGTAAACTTTCATTTTGGTTGTCCAGGTCATATAAAAAGAACGAAACACAGTAACATTTCSTAAGTCAGTATCTCTCTGTAACGTCCAGGAGAAGCTATGGAGTTTGACGAAGCGAAATACAGGCCCTAAATAGAATTGTGTTGACTTCAGTATAGTACAATTTTTAAAAGAGACATTCCAGCAGTTAGTCTGGTCGCTTATAAATGACGATAACTTAATTATTTGAAAATCACATGAAAATGATTCCATGTCAAGCCATTGGCTACTCAATGAAGCTCCGAAATCGTTCTAGTAGTCGACGTTTTCTTTTTGCGGGTTGTAACCAATGCTAATTGAAAGTGGTTTTTGGTTAATTCAAGGCTAATTACTATTTGTGTACCAAAATGGTTGATGATTATTAAGATAACCGAAATTGATCGTAATAAACCGTCAAGTAGGTAACTATCGAAGGCGACCTTTTTATAGATGGTTAAAAGTTTGTGCCACATACGTGTATTGCTCTTTTTTCTGGAACTATCGAGTTCAAGATTTAACATTGATACTGAATTTTGATTGCTAGTAATCTAAACTTACTTTTAGGTAGGTATACAGGGGTCGGAACACTAACACCCGCCATGGACTGTAAGGACATGAAACGCGGTGGGCTAGAGACTTGACTAATGGCTGTAAAACCGGGTATAGGTTGCTGGCACGGTTGGCAATTGCATACGCTTGTAGGAAACTCCCTCTTCGGTAATTGCGACGAAAATGCTGACTTTCTGCTGTCGTTATGCGATTCATCTTCAACTTTCTCGATCTCAGGAGAAATTTCTAGAGTTTTCTTGGAAATCAAAGAGTCTACCATGAACGAGGGGCTTTGCATGTTGACTGGAGTCTTGACCATGGAGGACCGAGGCGATGGGTGTCAACAACTGGTCTAAAAAACGGTTGAAGGGCTGTTTATATGGACAAGTGGCGTTATCTGTGATGATGATTATCTGACAATAGCTGTCATTTGCTAACCTGCCTATGTATCTAAGACCAAAGGGTTATTAGTCGGGCCTTTCCGGTCTTCTGTGATTGGCTGGTTACCTTTAGGTATCAACCACTACACAGAAAACAAATGGGGCCCCTCTACTAGTCAGTGTATTAACGTCTCATCACTTGGTTATTTAGCAAATCTTCCCACCTCAGTTGTGTGTGTGTGTGACGCCTTTGTTCAGTTTTGCCTCAGTAAATGGGTTTTGATGGCCGCGGTAAAGGGAGTACGATATAATGTTTTTGTTTTGATGCTAATTTGATTTTTTTGTATAAGCATATCGCAAAATATCTCTTTTTTAAGAAAGCACTGTGAAATAAAAACAGATACATTAAAGATATTGTTGATTTAACGTTTTGCTCATGTTTAGCATGATTCTTGGTCTCTGATTGGTCCATTTCCCAGCTGTTTCTGTGTATTGATTGGCCCATTTTGACCAGATGGTGCAGATGTTAGTTGGATCAATGGAGCATTTAAGTCCTTTAGGTTCTTTCGGAGGGTAAATTGCGTTAATTTACCCTTGAAACCATTATTATTCTGTGGACTCTATAATAATTACGATTCCATACGGCAATAACTAAACTCGGCTAATTTAGCGATGCCAACATCATTGCCTACTTACAGAAATCAAATCATTCACTTTGCTAATCGATAGGGAAACATCGTAGACTTTTACAATGACACATGATCATAAACTTGTTGTATTTTCATCGAGCTGTTGTCATGATCTTCGATATACAAATCACACACACCAATTGAATGTGAATCAACATAGTAATCACACGAGTAATACAAGATTCATTGTCAATGTTTGTGGACTCGTGCCGGTAGTCAACTTCAAGGATAATTCGTTTTGGGGTTTATGTGATTGGTTATTTGAATTTTTTCATTCGTGTTGGTTAAATTGCTAGCAGCTAACGACATATAATGAGTTTTAAAATATAAGAACCAAACGGAAATGTCATCTTTCTCGCAATTTAGCGGAGCTTTTGATATAGTTATTCAACGTTTACGAAATACCAATAACAATTATCGCGTCTATTGGTGAGTGGTCTTGACAGCTTTCAGGAACGTCGACATTCACTTTTGTCCTTTTCTTGTTTGACGATAAAAAGGCAAGGAAATTTCGATTTGAATTAATTGAAAAGAACCAAATTTCGGTGGGATAATAATAGCACAAAAAACAACAAAATCCRCRTTCAARGTAGTTGTTATAAAGCTGCTCAAGCAATGGTATGGTTTTTCACAGGTTATTTTCGACGCCACTTCCCTTTTTGAGCACACTTAAAAAATTGAAATGTTTTCTTTGTTTAAAAGGCATTTCGTACTCCTTTTTAAGCAAAGATTTTATTAACATGACACATATTGAGGACGACAATCAAGCAAATAGTTTGTTTGTCTAACCACTATAGCATCGATCTTTTGTTTACATTGCAATTGTTTCTCTGCGAATAAAGACCACTTTTGAACACTCTTCGAAAACTACACCAAGTTTAAGTTTGCCCTCCTTGATATCTTATTTCGGTTTGAAACAATAGCTTTCCAAGCCGCCATCAACTTGTACTGACGCTTTTTCGAGAAGGTGAAATGTAAAACGGCGGTATTCATTGAACGAGCTGAATTAAGTGCGAGGCTGGTTTAAACAGTTAATRTCGTATTCAATASATTCACCTGAAAGCTGTACCTCAATGGCATTATCGTTTAGTGTGAAATGACTTCAATAACCGTATGTAAACTACACCAGCTTCGCCGCATGAACTCGCTCGTTCATTTCTTGAAGTATTTTCGCACTTTCGTACAAATAATTTTGTTAAACGCTTAACACGATAATGCCAAGTATGGAGTGATAGCAGGCTGTTTTTGTAACATAAAAATGTCAATAGATCAATAACTCGATACATTTTATCAACCGGAACCCAAATTGACCAACATAGACTAATAATGCTTGATTGAATGTTTATGCAACAAGCTTGTAAGCAAAACGTTATTGTTTAAGTATTTTGGGAGTAAAACTCAATTAAACTATCCTTTTAAGTATCAAAATTTACCTTTTTTTAAATCAATTACCTCAGTCTTGCACAGTTTAATATTCGGTAAGTGCCCTATCTTTGTTAAATCCGGTGAGCTCGGCATTTCCCCTTACCTATCTGAATCTTTAAAAAGGCCGGCGCTTTTATCGCGCTATACAATTTTAAAATAATTTATCTTTTCTTTGTGTGAAGTCAAAGATTTTCTTTTAAAGTGAATTTTGGAGTAGCGGGACAAAAGCGCGAATGTTGATATTCACCTCGCGCCAAACAAGGCCATCAAGCCAGATAAAATACGAATATATATTGAACCAGTAAAGCAGACGCACTCGACATAAATAAATTGACTAAATTGGTTGTGAACTCAGTTTGAAACAAGGAATAAAACAATGTACTAGGTTAAAAACTGCTGCTTTATTAAAATAGGGTCGTCGGGGCACTTTCTGAAGCAAAAGCGGCAAATTAAGGAGTTTGGTTAATGAGGCTAATCCAAGGAAATAAAGAAACAAGTGCAACTAAAAATCATCCAACCAATTATATAATTTAACCGAGTTATTAGAAACGTCAATTTAAAGTGTTGTCATACGCAAAATCAGATTTCTTTTCGCTGTCAACATTTGATTTTTCTTCCAAGAGAATCAAGCAAATCAGTTTCTTAAAATTAAAAACATTGATAAATAAGAACACGGTAGCTCGGTGTGGTTAAGGGCGCGGCGCGTTTTCCTACACTAGTGAAGAGATCGGGTTGAATCAACTGGAAGAGTCGGTAATAGGGTAAAATTATACTCCAGGTAATTTTGATTGGAGACATTTTACATCGGGAAAACAAGGCAATCAAACGGTATACAATAAAATATMTCTTCATATTGATTAGGAATTGTATACACCAATGTACCTTTTTGATACTTTTTGGAACCAATACCCTCGGTAATTGGCTTTTCAACCTTAATCATTTCTACTGCTGTTTCCAGGGCTTTGCTTTCGTTTCTTTTTCGCATATTACCTGCCAGTTACAATCAATAACGTACTTGTATGATATCCGTTGAATTACGACCTGTATTAGCAGCAATTAGACTATAACTGTTTATTAAAGTGTGTATTCAGCCCTAGCTCTAAATGATTTTCAAATTGATTACCACAAATCGAACTATTAAACCGGACCAGTGCCTTACCAATAGAGCTGATCAAATCGCAGCCTTAATGATAATCAATTAAGTTTGAGCTCAATTGTTGACTGTAATAATCTATCATTTCTTACATATCCTTTCATAAAAAAAACATATATACACATATTTGATATAGATTATGTTATTTATATTATATTTGGAAATCAAAGATTTGATGTTCGGGTATATSTACATCATTATTATTTTAAAAAAGTGAGAATTTTCAGTTTTTTGTGATATTGTTTACCAGGCTGGCAATCCATTAAACTGTTCTTAGCCTTTCAATATTCTTATCGCGATTGATAGTAGAAAAAAGTGTGAATTTTCTCTCTTTTAAGTCAGTTATGGTCTTTATTTATACTCAATAAATGACTCGAATCTAAACACAGTTTCACGAGAAGTAACTTCCAGTGATACTTTAAAACATTGCCTGAGCTACTAAAACTTGTGAAATCACAACTCTGAGACAATAAGAGACAAGGAAAAAATAGAAAAGTTCTTATTCGATAAGTGCTTTGGATAATCTTAATTCTGTTTAATGGTCGAGAAATAAACTGTACTTTAGGAGGATTTCAAACATCCTGGTGTTTTAAGTGTGTATATGTCTCCGTGTGCACTTTAGAAACAGTTTTAACTGAATCTAATGTGGGCAGAATAAACAACAATAACAAAAGCATCCATTTTCATGGCCGGCTGCTGTGGCATATAAAACGTTTTAACATGTCCTGAAGACAACTAGGAAATCGACTGGAGCTGACAGAATTAAAAGAACACTGCAATAAAAGGCACCATACTGAGTAAAAGGTTCTTTTTATAGGCGGGAAAGTYTTCACGGAGTTCATCTAACTAGCTATCGATTTATATTTGATGTGTTGTATGCAATGGTTTAGTGAGCTTACATGATGAAATCAAGCTATCTTGATACACAATAGACAAGATACTACCACAAGCTAACGATTCATTAAAACAGTTTCACCTGCTTTTAAACCCATTAAAAATAGATTTCCTTCCTTCAAAACAATATGCAATCACTCATTTAATGTAGCTGACTCATTCCGGCTGACCATTTGATGACAATGACTTTAGATGGCTGAACTGATGTGCGTCGGTTTTGCTGGCAACAAATAACTTTTTYACTTWTTAGCAGGTTAACGAAGGTGTGACGTTTTAAGTGGCTCTGCGAGTGAATCATTTAGATACGTGCTTCAAACGAAAGAACACAGCATCACAAWAGCATTGTATAAAAAAACATGTTTATTTTTTCTCAGCTGCAACATGCACTATTTATAAAGCTCGGCGAACTTCAAATCATAGATTAAACTAGGAACTTAAAAAAAMCCCTGCTTTTATAAAGGTTATTGAGCCCAAAATAAATGAACAATTGCCTCACAATTACCGAGTGATTGGCTACCAATAGTCGATTTTCTATGTATTTGCGATAGATGGAATTTCGCACGTGCCCTCCGGCCTTTCCGACACCTTTCACGTCTTTGCAATTGATCTCTTGGTAATAGGTTCAGAATCGAAGTTTACCTTTGATGGGCTTATACTTGACAAACGAATAAAAATGCTCTTAATTCTTCCTTGTAAAAACTAGAACGCCAGGCAAATTTGGACGCTTTTTCCTCATTTGTGATCAAGTGAGATCGATCAACTCGAAGTGCGCGCTGGCTTGAAGGTTTTGAAAAAAATAATTTTTGAAAGTGAGTTCCTATTAATGTTCATTCKTAGTATCCTTTACGTTTTAGGTTTACCGCTAATTATGATTTCTAAACGAGCGATTTTTATAACTACTTGGATGCTTAATTATCCTCGACGATTTTAGTTCGGGGTAATAACATTTTGATTGACTGGATATGGCGGTAATTTCACATTGACACAACGTCTTGACATCTTGTATAGAAATCAACTTTAATAGATCTTTCTTCTCCATAAAACAAGTCTAGAACGTCAAACCAATTAAATTAGAGACCTTCTCCTAGTTATTTCTAGACACCGAGATTTTTAGAGCAAGATTTKRTGGGGTTGTGTTGGCGGGGCAAATCAGAGATCGGCTGGTAAATGTTTTAATGTGCGCGGGCTCACAAARATGCAYGAGTACCAACAAGAATGACAAACTTTAGGAACTGTGMCTAAATTTCTCAATATACTTTAGCATACATTTTCTAGTCGTGATAGCATGCATTAATGAATTTAAGCTGCAAATRTTTTATATCGGTTTATGACGCATTTTGGCGTTTTACCGGCCGAATCTCACTCATGCCTGAAAAATAATAAATCCTTGTTTTTACGTCTTGATGCGTGGAGTCGTCTTTCGTGTCTTTCTATCCAGTATCTAATCATTATTTATCTGACATTTCAACCTCTACACGGTATGTTGCCTCTCAGTGAGCACGRCACTCCTACGCGCTKAGCAGGGAAGAGGAACCTCTGCCCACAAACCAGCATTGTTCCTTGATTTACGTCTAGATACATGGGGATTAATAACCGAGTCTTCACTTGCAGTRTCATTCTGATACTTAACGTCTACATTTAAATGTTTTAGTGACCTTCAGTCTGGGCAGAGAACCAATTCAAATATAGAGCGCAAATACAAGATTGCAGCAGTTTATATTGACCGTGAATATTTGTAACACATTAGCGCGCTTCCAAAGTAGCCTCCACTAAGAAACACATAGCATAAAATAGCGATGTGTAATGTAAAGAAGAAATGAAAAGACACTCATTTGTGCTACCGTTTGTTGTATCTGTCAAGTCAATATTGAATCGAACTATCGATATTTAATCGATACTTAGTCGGACTGTTGTCGTATTCGTAACACACTGTTTAGAAAAATGAAAATTCCCGGCTCAGACATCCCCTGTGACGATTTAAGATGAAAGCATTTGAATTTCCGAAGACATATTATTTAAGACGTGCCTTTATTAAACTTTTTAATTTTTTTAAAACCTTATCTGTCTACTTGATATTCAGTCRCAGCCGTGCCTTGTCGCACTTAGATTCGGTTATTCGATGGAAGTATCATGATCTGCTGGGAGTTCTTTTTTGTTTCTTTGTTTGTTTTTCTATGATTCTGGATGTCAATGACGACACGAAGGACGTCGTTTTTTYAAATGAAGACTGCACATCTCAGAGCGTTCTTTTTAATTTTTTTCTTTTTCGTTATSATGTATTGATAATAATAAACTTAATAACTGTACAGAGCGTTACTGATATAGTTTTGCGGTAATCTTTCTGCCGAATTTAAAGACTGAAAACTCGCTATTTCTACCGAATCTTTTTTAAGGTGCAATATTCGTGTGCAGGCTGTGCTTTACTGTAAGATTTTGATATAAATCTCTTTATACCTTCATTTTGTAAGAGCTAGTGATGTCATATATTAAGTTTTTATATAAATTCAATTCATTATCTCCTCTAAGCATCGTTTGATTCATCATCACTTTTTTCATTCTGTTGTCTGTAAGTATTTTGATCTTTTTTCAAATTTGTRTTCTTGTGRCAGCGTTTCCACTTCATCCTGCGATTTTGAAACCAAATTTTCACTTGAGTCTCTGTTAGCATCAGCGTCGTAGCTAGTTCGTATCTCTGTGGTCTTGTTAGGTACTTGTGTGATTGGAACTGTCTCTCTAGSGCCAGCAGYTGGTGGCTGGAAAAGGCAGTACGTGGTCTTCGATGGCGACCTGTGACATTGTAGTAATGCTGTGAACAACCTATCRGGATACAAAGTGRTTAGTAACTATTTAGAATCGCTGTTGTTATTTATAATGCTGGAGGCGGACGAAAAAGTAAAGGTCACGTGATGATGTTTCACACACCWTACAAATGTCCGTCCTTTTGGGTTGCCTGTGTAATTCTATGTCCTGTGTGTGTGTGCTCTGGTGTATGCGTATAGATTTATTAGAGATTAATCTTGTGCCTAATTTAATCATGCGAATGTCATCAGTGATTGACGTCGCTATGGTGACGTCGTTTGACGTCTTCTAGCTCTGATAAAGTCAATATGACTTGTCTAATTGGTTTCCGGTAATGTCATAGCTGGAATTGGACGGGAATGGAATTGAGAATAACAGGAACACACAAATAGACAATGACATATTGTRAGTTAATTCGTACACGATAAGATCTTCAATTAACCCTAAAAACATGCTTGTGTTAATTGCTAACTATATTTTGTTCGTTTTGTCATTCAGCGCTGTAAATTAGATTGACCTGAGTGCTAAAAGAAGTTCGTCGGTTAGTTAGCTAATGTGCCAAATGCCAGTTGGCAATTTTCGCTGTATTTGTCCATACAGTTTTGTAGGGCTTGAATTTAGTGTTAATGCCTAAAACTGAACTGTAAACCTACATTTAAACAGAATTTTACAACTACTGATTCACATTCCAAAATGCACATTCATATGTACACAATTATTTTTCAATACTTTTTTTTTAAGTAGTGAAATCTTGTTTTGAAATTGTTGTTCTTCTAGTTTTTTCTTTGCTCAAAAGTATACGCCGCAAATTTTGAAGATAAACTTATGAGTAGGAAATTTACTCACTGGATCAGGTTTTACTACAACCCCTCCATTACGCAATCGGCTCCTCTTYAAAATCAAATGCTGTTAMAAACGAATATTGAATTCAATACTTCTCGAAGTCGAAGAGCGTGAATTGAAATTGATATTTTGAGTTGGAGTGTATAAAATTGAATTCGATTTTTCGTAGTTTTAAGTGTGTAAATTGAATGCGATTTATCATAGTTCAAATGCGTGAAATCCAATTCGATTTTWCATAGTTCAAGTGTTCGAAATTGAATGCGATTTTTTCCTGGTTRAAGTGTGTGAAATTGGAGTGGCAATTATTTTCTTCAACTTCTCAGTTCGTTTCCATTTTAAATTCAATTTGACGATTTATTAAGCATAATTGTGAAATTAGCGAGCAATCTGTCATAGTGCTTCTGGTTGAAGATCACTGATTATTAATCAATTGGTGAATGTAGATTGGATGTCGTACTCGTGATAACGTAATAAGGGTAATAATACTGTTGTAATTGAATCAAGCCAACGTGTTAAGGCAATGTCTTAAATACAGTACTATGCGCATCTGCCGTGATTCCGATCATACAGTCAATTCTCTTAGGTAAATATGAAAACGATTTCTTGAAGTTGCGGCAAAGCCTAGAGAATAAAATTCAAGTTGTGAAGAATCTTCAACTTTTTTATAACTAATTTGATCACTTTTAGTTTTCCGTGCGCTWAAGTCWGTTGGATTTCTGAGCGGGCAATATGTTAAGGGATAGCAATAGATCAGTTTTTATTGACACGAGGTTTCTTTGCTGTATAGTTATGATACCAAGCAGTTATACTATAGTCACACCCCGGGCTAACTAGTGTCATGATTTCACCAAATGACYCATCATGCACGGTAAGCAAGGGTAAAACTAYTCCGAACTCACCTGGGGGAATCAAGCCATGTTGACCATACCACGTCGAGGAGCAAACATGGCTTTCATCGCAGTGACCACAGCCGTACGGCATGTTATACACAAAGGCATTCCATTGTATCGGCTCGACTCGCGGTAGCAACAATGGTCTTCTGCTTATAACACTACTGCGGTGCATGCTATCGGCTTCAGACTCTACTTTGTTGCCCCTTCCGTCCACTTTCGTACCACTGTCTTTGCGTAAAATACTTTCAATGTCAAAACTTGAAGTATGCATGATCAGACGGACACTATCACGCGAGCTTAGCACTTAGAAGTCCATTACTGCTACTCCAACGGCGCAAACCAAGGTCTGAAAGTGTCGTTCATATCGATTGCCTTCTTATTCGCTGTTGATATACAAATTCAATTATAATAGTGGTCGGTGATTGGCAGGCATAATCGCTATTAGTTGGTAATCTATTGTTAATAAAGCAGATGAAAGGTGCATCACGCCCCAATTATCTCTGATTACGATCTAATGTGTTGAAAAGGCTTAATCGACCACAGTTCGACTTTGTATTGTACATTTAGAACTTGTGAATACTTCGATCAATGACATGTTATGAAACCACTTTAGGAACAATTGCTTTTAGTGAGAGTAACATTTGCGATTATTGTCTTTCATTTCTAACATTCAATTGGGTAGTTTTTCCAAAGTCTATTACCTCTAGTGCCGCAAGAGTGGCTAGGGCTGTGTAAAATAARCTTTATTTCTCGTGCCTTTTGAAAGACGAGGATAAAAATAACACAGAAATGAACCGCGCCAACGACTTAATAAGGAAGCTTGTCACAATATGTCAACTTGTATTATCCTTAGGAACTTACTGGTTGGAAGCAAGGCGAAGCTTAATGGYATTACAAAGAGCTTATTTCCCCTTTGCAAACTCTCTGCCTCCCTTTCTTTTAAACTTCGCAAGACATCTTATTTCGAGTGATGTAATCTGTTCCGACGTGCTACACGTCACAATAAATCTAAACAAGCCTATATACGAGCAAAGTGAAAGATTTCACATGTTATCAAACAACACTTGCAAATTTACAAATAAAGCAAACGAGTGACTTTATGTACATAGTCAAAGGCGTCATAAGCTCATTATCTAACACAAAATGCTGGTTTTGTTGACTCTTTGGCTAGAACAGGTATAATTGTGTGTCTCGYACTAGACGGTTTGTAGTTGACGATAGGATTTACACATGTGAGTTTAGTAAACAGTTTCTTTGTTAAGTTTTAGTCCTGGACAACACAGACCTTTCCTTACAGGAAATCCACTTTCTTTTTAAGTTTCCGAGGAATGATCTGAATCAATYTTAGCATTTATTTTTTGATCTATTTTAGTTTGCATTCACTAGCTGGTTGACATTCAAGATATATCATGTATGTATTCAGGAACTTAAGGTTGCTGCCAATACATTTGCGCGCCAAAACTGCTTGACATTGCAGATCGTCACATGGGTATAGATGAGGAAAGAGTCCATATTTTTAAATCACGAGATTGTTCATGATCTCTCAGYGGTTGTTGGTTTTGTTGAAAGATAAACTATAATTAACTAAATCAAGTATTCTGTGCTATAATTTTTTACTGAGTTAATGAAGTTAGAGACGCTGGACTACTTAAAAAGAAAGATAAGATTTGTCGCCACTAAGAAAAACTTAGCAAGTGAGCACAATCCAATTACTAAACTAATAATAAGAATATTATATGTAAGTATASTTCAAATTATTTAAAATGTTCTAATTTCTTGACAAGTATGTTTTCTTTACAGTAAAAGAAAAGGTATTGCAGGTTAAGAAATGAAAAAGACATGCATAGCCATTTCATTTATCATACTTCTATAAAGCTCTAAGTCGGTACCAGCAGCAATCAGCACATGCCTTTCATTCATCATTCTTCCCTTTAAATGGAAAACCCAGTCAGTGTCAAACTTTCACGATGAATTATTTAAGGTCTTTAAATGAATAGYTTTCCATCGTTGGTTTTTGTAACTGCTAACTTTTAATTGTGTTAAATAACAATCGATCCGTGTGCCGATAACTCATGATAAGACCACGACCCCGCGTCTCCTCGCTAACTAGCTCATAATGGATACAGAAAGTCTTTTTTCTTTTGTTTAGTTTGGAAAAACTGATCCTTTTTCAGAAAGTGTGTTTCTTTTTACTTTCTTTGAACCTGTGAAGAAAGAGAAGTGATTTTAARATGTAATTTTTAATTAGTATAATTGAATTGACTCTTATTTCATCGCTCAATCGGAATTAACAGACTTCAGCAACACTTTCCACGGATATACCTCCATCAGCTGCCATCGTTAAAAATCTAGTTTATCCAGTACATCTGAGCTAAAAATATTGCAATKATTGTATTTATAGAAAGATACATGTACAAAGTCTACCAGCTTGTTACGTCATCATAGGGCGTGAAACTCTTAGTTTATTTCCCGATATTTTATTTGCCTTTCATGTTAAATCTATTCCTTTTATTTGCCACTTTAACACTCGGCCTCTGTCATTCACCGAATTTCGTAAACCTCATCCAGTCATGTTAAGTGCGCTAAACGACGATTTCTATCGCCGGAAGACGACTTACAAGACGAATGCTCCAAACCCGGAACAACCTCCACGGCACTGGACCATGACAATGTGCATTGTTATTATTTCACGACATTCAACACAAACACCAACATTTCAGCCCTTAACGTCAAAAACGTTTTCAGTAGCAGTTTATTGGTATGTTTGAAAGAACTATTAAAGTGAGTTATACTGACAAGAGGCTCAAATAAGATTGAAACCCTTTTCTTGCCTTTGAAATGTCCCTTAAATGTTTGAAGCTTGATCAGTCAATTTCTATTAAAGCTGAGTAAGTTAACTAATATGRTTTCTTGTCTCTGACTTAATTGAGGAAGGCAATAGCTTGATTCAAAAATTCAAAAGGATTGCCATGTTTTCACCAGAACAATTGTAACAGCAAAACATCACTCACTGAGCTATTTATAGGCGAACTGATGTTATTTTCACCGGTTCTGAATGTAGTTATAAGTTACTAGCTATCAAAGCAAAGTTGAAAATATTTAATTATATTTACGAAAAGGATTACAAGAAGATTTATCATTTTACTACGTAGTGTATATTTCGGCCTTTATCCAAAGGCCATCGACTGCAAACTGAACTTACATGAATAACTATTAGTTCAAAAGACTTAAGGGAATTGACTGTCCCTGTTCATTCAAGGATGGTTTTTTTTTTTTTTTTTTGTTCTTTTATATAAAGCGCTTCGGCGATTCTCCTTTGTTTATATGTTTTGAATTTTGACGCTAAAATAGTAGCGTTTTCTAACTGAACAGTTTCATGGCCAGATTCAAAGCTATGTTTAAGTATTGCGGACTTTTTGTCCTTTCCTCCATGCTCCGAGATTCTTTCATCTAATCTTCTGGCCGTTTCACCAATGTAGGTATGTGGGCATCGTTCTTGTGGGCACTCAAGCTTGTACACTACATTATTTTGGTGTTTGATGTTAATTTTGTCTTTTACGCGATGCTAAGTTATCAGCCTTAAAAGAGACTAGCTTTTACATTTTGTGGCAGAAACTTATTAGAGGCACGCTTTAATTTCTGAACTAATCTAACACCTTTGTCGCCTCTGTACGGTAATGTCATAAACACAGAGGTTAAGTCATTATCCTGTCCGTTCTTTTGTTCGATAGCTTGACCTTGTTTGTTTTTAACTTCATTGATGATGTTGTCAATGACCCAGTTAGGATAACCATTTATTTCATGGAATGTTTTTCGCAAGTGATGTAGTTCTTGTTTCAATAGATCTTCATTAGAGCAGATATTATAGGCTCTCTTTACTAAACCTGTAAGTGTGCTTCTCTTCCAGGTCTTCGGTGCATCGGCTTGCCAGTGGATGTATAGATCGGTGTTTGTTTTCTTGCGATACACTGTGGTCTCAAATCGGCCATTATTCCACGTAATGGTTGTGTCTAGGAAGTTATAGAGTTCTCCCGGCTTGACTCGTAGGTGAAGCGGATTTTTTTCTTACGATCAAAACTGTTGAGTTGTTTAAGTACATGTTCATGATGTCCAATCTTGACAAACGCGAGAGTATCATCTACGTATCTAATCCAGGTCTTGAGGTAGTCACTTAACGTTGGAATAACAGATGTTTCTAATTCGAATTTTATATAAAAGAACAAAAACCATCCTTGAATGAACAGGGACAGTCAATTCCCTTAAGTCTTTTGAACTAATAGTTATTCATGTAAGTTCAGTTTGCAGTCGATGGCCTTTGGATAAAGGCCGAAATATACACTACGTAGTAAAAT